GGAGGTCCTTGGTTAGGCAGAGCCTTTGAGAAACTTTGCAGAAGAGGAAGAGAAATGGCTCAGTGTGGCCTGACCTCACTCCCACCCCAACTCTGCTCCTCCAGGTTTGCCATTCTCTAGCTACCTTCACCTTCTTTTAGTCTGAAGTGTGGTAAGATATTTGCATCTGTAGGTATTTGAATATGCTGTTTTATCTGCCAGGAATGCTCTTTCCTTCATTGCTTACCTGATTGCAGTGATCATTCAAGGTCTAGTATTAGTGTCCTTTTCTGAGAGAAGTGGCCATTGCAAAGAATACTGTACCTGAAAATGATATTCCTGTCATTAATCATTCTCCTAGCATTCATGTTTTTGTGTATACTTGTTTAATATCTGTCATCCCTCCCACTAGACAATGGTAAACTGTGGTGTAGAGTTGGGAGATACCCATATAATGAGTGTCTGGGTGTTATAGTTAATTTCAGAGTTTGGCAGTAGAAGGTTTTTATCTTGATTATTGGGTCACAGTTTCTTGCTTCTTTTGCAACTCATAATTTTATGGTAGTCTGTACATTTTAACTAAAAGAACTGGAGACTGAAGTATGATTTTGTTTTGCTATTCTGAGTACTGGAACCCTTTCACAGGCTTGGTGATTAGCATATATGTTTTTTTAAATATTTTATTTTTTTAGTCGTAGTTGGACACAATGCCTTTATTCCATTCGTTTATTCTTTTTATGTGGTGCTGAGGATCAAACCCAGAGCCCTGCGCGCATACTAGGCGAGCACTCTACTGCTGAGTCACAATCCCAGTCCAGCATATATGATTTTTAATGATTCTTTTAGAGACTGCACTGTACTCTTTTTTTTAAAGAGAGAGAGAGAGAGAGAATTTTAATATTTATTTTTTAGTTTTTGGAGGACAACAACATCTTCGTATGTGGTGCTGAGGATCAAACCCAGGCCGCACACATGCCAGGCGAGCGCGCTACCACTTGAGCCACATCCCCAGCCCAAGCATTGTACTCTTAACTAGATTTAGTTCACCTGTGATTAGCCCAACCCCCAACCTCCTGTCCCTCTGCTACCTTTTCAGTCTTGTCAATATTTGAGCTATTTCTGATATCTTTGGATTCAGTTCTTGCAGGGCCTGCAGTCCAGGTGCTGTGGTGGTGCCTGCAATGACTTTCTGGTTTTGAGCATCTCCTTCCCTGTGGTTTTCTTGGCAAAATGCAGGGGGTGAATATGGGGAAACAGCATTGTTAGGCCAAGTGATTTGTTTTTGCTTAGGGATGCTTCAGATGGTGTCCCATGCTGTTGTCTGAAGATGGGATAAGTTTTCCTTGTCCTTGCAAAGTATCTCTTTCTATCAAAGGCTCCCTCTTCCAGTCATAAATACCCAGAATGACAAGCAAGTATGGAAACTTTTGTAGCACTGGGATTTAGTACTTCAAGGCTTCCTTCCTTCTCCTTGGTGTGATTGTTGTATTGTCTTGAGTTTTTATTGTTACCACAGGAGTGAAGGCATTTCATATCTCCTATATCCTAATTGGAAGGAATCTCTTATAAGGTTTTTGGGAGTGATCCAAGACAAAATTTGTTCTAGAAAGGAGACTGATCTAGTGAGACATCTTGCTCGTTAGTCTCAGGACTGGCTTGGAAGAAGGTTTATTGGAAGTGTGGTTCCTGTGGTATGGACTTCCTCTTATGGACACACAGTATAAGAAAAGGTGGACAGGAAGACAGGATGGTAAGTGGCAAATCAATGTTCTGGCAGACCCGAAGCTCACCCTAATTCTGTGAGGTGAGCAAAGTCAAGTCTACTTTTCAGATGAAGAGCTGAGGCACCGAAAGGGAAAAGGACCTGCTCAAAATTCACATGGGTAGTAAATGGCATAAAAATAACCAAGATCTAGCATTAGGTAATTCCAAATAAAGTGTTCATTTTGTTACATAAATAATAGGTGAGTATTTACATAGTCTTGTGAAAAGAAAAAGAAACACTTGAAGCAGTCATTCCTCTTAACTCTAGTTTCTGCTGCCACTCATATTCCAGAAGTAACCACTTTTGTCAGTTTGATGTATGTCAGTTCAGACAATTTGCTATGCACTTAACATGCAGTTAAAAATGTCATACTGTAGGGTTTTTAAAATATAGGACCATATAGGAAGTATTTTGTTATTATTCTTTTTCACTTAGCAATCAATAGTTGGAGATCTTTCCACATCGGTACATTTAGTTCTGCTCAGTTTGTCATTCATTTAATAAACATCTATTGAGCATCTACTGTGTGGCAGATCCAGTTTGCACTGGCACACAGTAATAAATAGAGTAGACCAAAAAAATAATCTCATCCTCTTGGAGCTTACCTTCTGAAATGAGGAGAGATGTAAAATTATTAAAATAGGCTAGGGTGATAGGGAGGGCTGGTGGGCAGGGGAGGTTGTAATTTTAAGTTGGGTGCTTAGAGAAGGCCTTATTTATTATAAAGTGACATGGAGAGAAGATCAGAAAACAGCAAGGAACATGACATGTAAATATATGGGGGAAGAATAGTCCAGGTAGAGGGATGAGCATGTGGAATAGTAAGGAGGCTTGTGCAGCTGAGGCAGAGTAGGTGATGGGAAAGTGGATGGTAAGAGAGGTAAGAAATAAGATTGGAGAAATAACTGGGAGCCAGATCTTGTAAAGCCTTGTAAGCCATTGAAAAAAAAATGGTGTGTGTTCTAAGATAGGAGCCACTAGAGAGTTTTGAGTAGAGAAGTGACCTGACCTGACATACAGTGGAGAGGATCAGTCACTTCTGTGTTGAGATTAGATTGTAGAGAGGTAAGGGTGGAAGCAGGAAACAATGGTGGCTTGGACCAGGGTGGTAATTGTGGGCATCATGAGAAGTGGACCAGTTTGAGAGATGGTTTGAAATAAAAGTCAACTGTGTCTGCTGATTGGATATAGGGTGTTAGGGAAAAATCAAACATGGCTCTAAAGTTTTTTGATCTGAATAAAAGGAAAAATGGACTGCCAAACCAGGTGGAGAAGGCTGTGAGAAGAGCAGGTTTGGTAGGATGATTGTTTGATTTTGTACATGTTAAGTTGAAGGTATTAGATCTGCAGGGGAGATGCTGAGAAGGCATTTTTGTATGTAAGTCTGGAGTTTAGGGGAGAGGTGTGGGCTGGAGATAGAAAACTGGGAGTCATCAGAATATAGGTGGTTTGAAAAATCATGGCACTGGATTCTAGTTACCAATAAAAAAAAAAAGGTCCAAAGGTTGTACCTGGGAATACTCCAATGTTAAAAGATCAGAGAGATGGGCAGGAACCAAAAAGTTGAACTAAGGAAGGAGGAAATTCAGGCAAATGTGGTGTCCTCCAAATCAAATGAAGATAGTCCTAGGAGAAGGGATTATACAGTTGTTAACTGCACAGTTTGATTAAATACACGTAGATGGAATGCATATGTAGGTCAATTAGGACAAGGACTGAGAATTGACCAGTGGATTTAGCAGTGATGCAGGCATACTGAATTAGAGAGTGCAACATAAGAGACTCAGATTTGTTTGGTCCAGGATGTACCCCGGACCCCAGGGGTTTTAAAGCTCCCCAGGTGATTCTAATATGCAGCCAAGGTTCAGACCACTGTCATCATTTCTTTCTCTTCATTGTGAAATGACCTTATTGCCAGAAACAGATGTTGCTGACTGATTAAACACAGGAGTCTTTATCTATAGGTTTGTTCTTGGATACCTTGGGATCTGAAAATGATAAGCCGATCTGAAAGCTGATTATTAACTACTAAAGCGATTAGCTGTTTAGCACCTGTCTTAAATAGAGTAGACTGTCTTAAAAGTGGCTTTTAAGCAGAAAATCTCTTTTTGCTTTTCATTTTTTTAGATGCTTGATTTTTGTTTTGTTTATACTCAAAAAGATCTTTTATTTGAGAAACAAGGGTAAGTTTCAAGTTAATGAAAAATGTTAAGGGAAATCTTGATATAACTTGTCAAAAAAAAAAAAAAAAACACTAGAAAACTCAACCTGAACTCACATCAGTAATTAAGTATTTGAGTTATACATTTTTTTGCAGAATCATGTGTATTTCAAATCCCCAAATGAGGTTATACCAGGTATAGAAAATTTGTAACTCATTAGAATTTTAATATTCTCCATATTCTTGACATAGACATTAGAAGTTATTTAAGTGCTTTAGCAAATTTGAATTGGGTTGGTATTGTTAGCACTTCAAAAATTAAATGCCATAGATGGGCTATGCAAAAAGAGATCTAGTTTGCAGGCTCATTAAATTAGATTCTATATGACAAACAGAAGGAAGATCACATATATCAAAACAGGACCAAGGCTGTGGCTGTGGCTCGAAGGTAATGTGCATATGTGTGTCCGTCCACTGGCAGTGAAAAAAACCTTGCAATAAAGGTCTGTCAACAACTTTAAAAAAAAAAAAAAAAACAGGACCAAGGTATAAAATGGAAAAATTCAGAGACAAAATAAAGGCTTAATTATTGCACTTGTGCAAGTATCATTGCATGATTAGTTTTGGTTCTCCTTTACCCCCATTTCTTTGTACTCCATCACTGGATTTTTTATGAATCAGAGGTACACCATTTTACCTATAGATGTTTGAGCATGTCTTTCTAAAAGTCAAGGACACTTTTATAAAATAATCATGATTAAGGTGTCGTACCTAAAAATCAACAAAAATTACTCATTGTCTGTGTTCATACTTCGCCAATTGTTCTGTGGTTTATTACATCACTTTCCTCTTCTCTTATTTTGTCTTACAATTTATTTGTTGAAGATAGGATCAAGTAGGAACTAAGTATACTTATATGAGATTTACTAATATATATCCTAAGCAGTTGCTGCTTTTGAAAATGAAAACTGAAGTATTACTTTGATTCTTTTTTCTATTAAAGCACATCATCCTCACCTCCAATCTTCCAGCAGGATGAGTGCACATATACTCTTGGTCTTGATTGGGCTGTTTGTGATCTTACGTATCTTTCAGGAGAAACAGTGCAGGTGACCGTGAGAAGGCTCTTCAGGTCATGCTCCAGGTTCTGCAGAGCTGTGACCACCCAGCTCCTGACATGTTTTGCCTGTGTGGGAGGATCTACAAGGATATCTTCTTGGATTCAGACTGTAAAGATGCTGCCAGCAGAGACAGTGCCATTGAGTGGTAAGTAGCATATGCATCTCTGCACAGAATCACATAGGCCAAGCATCTAGGTCTTTTCCCTATGTGCATATGTGTGTCCATCCACTGGCAGTGAAAAAAACCTTGCAATAAATGTGATCTGGGAATTTTCAGATTCCTTCTTCTGAGAGAAAGCCATGAAAACAGGGTTTTCTCTTGAAAACACACTTCCTATAAGTTCACTCATTTATGAGGCAGGAAGAAGGCTCAACATACTTCTTCCCAGCTACCCCTTCTAGAATTTTTTTTTAACTTTTATTGTTTTTATGTGGTGCTGATGAATGAACCCAGTGCCTCACCAAGGCTAGGCAAATGCTTTACCACTGAGCTACAACCCCAACCTTCCTTCCAGAATCTTATCCACCACTGTCAAGGTATTATCTTCCCAGTGAGCTGTTCATTATTTATTTATTCAACAAATATTTATTGAGGGCTTACATTGTGCCAGAAATTTTCTAAATGGTAGAAATGTGGAATGTACACAACAGACATGAATCCCTGCCCTCAGACACCTTGCTGTTAAGGGAAATCAGAAAAGTAAATAAGGCAAAATGTATGGGATGTTAGCTGATGGCAAGGGCTATGGGGGAAAGTTAAGCAGGGAAAAGAAAAGGAGAGTTGAGAGGGTAGTCTGAAATTTTAAATAGGGTGGGTAGTAAAGGTGAGTAAAAACGTGAAGGTGGTGAGGGAGTGGGCTTTGCAGATAACTGGAGAAATATGTGAGGTGGAGGGAACAGCACAGGCAAAGACTCCAAGGAGGAAGCATGCTGGACACACTTATGGATGGTGAGGAGTAAGCAGAAGAAGAGTAGCAGGGAAGCTAAAATAGTAAGCTGGGTTCCTATTTTGGTGGCTAAAAATTCAACCCCCAGATCAGGAAATCACTGCTTGTAACTCCTTCAGAAAAGTCAGAGGAGTTTTTTTTTCCCCCAACTACTTAAGAAAGTAGTGGTGGTAGGTACAGGAATAAATGCAGCTTAGTCTTTTGATCAGGGCATGTATGCCCTGGATAAGACCTTGGAGGTCATCTAACCCAAACCCTAAAGTATGGATGTGAAGCATGTGGCCCAGGGAGGTGGGTGACTGGTCCAAGGTCATGGGGCTGGCTAAAGATCACAGGGATAGTTAGTGGCAAATCTGGGACTGCAGTCCTCTGATTGGAGTCCAAATCATCTCTGCCCCTGAGTAAGGCCTGTTTTAATTTGGGAAAAGGAAAACTTCTCTGCCCTCTTCTTAATTAACTTGTTTTTTAAATGATTTTTTTGAGACAGAGTTTTATTAAGTTGCTGAGGCTGGCCTTGAACTTGCAATCCTCCTCAACCTCCTGAGTAGCTGGATGCATAGGTGTGCACCACCACACCCACCTCAGTATAACATTTAATTGTGAAAGAAAATTTTTAAAAGGCAAACTTGGTAGGATATGGAATTTTAAATTCCCAAGATATGTGGGGGCAAAAAAGGTTGAAATTTTGTTGACTGGGATAGGAAGAACTTTCTTGGTGTCCTCTGGTTAGTCTGAAGTTACTTGTATTATTCTCTAAGTTCATAAAGCCATATTTTAACTGATACAAATAATAATTTCTCCCTTTAAGAAGTATTATTTTATTGATGAATTCTCATGTTACCCCTGGTTTATAAGTCCTTGGTATTAACAGTGCCATTTAAAGATATGTTTGTGTTATTACATCATTGATTGAATAATTTTTTTCCTGATCATAGTAGTCATACTTGCTCATAGGAAAGAAAGAAACTTTTTATGTATAGAAAAGAATAAGATTTGGGCTGGGGATGTGGCTCAAGCGGTAGCGCGCTCGTCTGGCATGCGTGCGGCCCGGGTTCAATCCTCAGCACCACATACAAACAAAGATGTTGTGTCCGCCAAATACTAAAAAAAATAAATATTAAAAATTCTCTCTCTCTCTCCCTCTCTCTCACTGTCTCTCACTCTCTCTTTAAAAAAAAAATTTAAAAAAAGAAAAAGATTTGGACTATTACAAATAAATCTGCTATGAAAGTTTGTGCAAAGAGAAAAGAATGAAGATAGTTGAAATGGAACTTTTTGAAACTGGAAATCCATAGGCAACAAAATGAGATTAAACCCCTATCTCTCACCATGCACAAAACAAAAGTCAAAGTGGATCAAGGACCTAGGAATTAAACCAGAGACACTGCGTCTAATAGAAGAAAAATTAGGCCCTAATCTCCATCATGTGGGATGAGGCCCCAACTTCCTTAATAAGACTCCTATAGTGCAAGAATTAAAACCCAGAATCAATAAATGGGATGGACTCAAACTAAAAAGTTTCTTCTCAGCAAAAGGAACTTAACTTTTTGTATAAAAATAGTATTTCTAGTTTTGTATCTTATTCCTTATTCTAATGTGATAGATCCTTGCCCCTCCTGTCCCTTTTTGTTGTTGCCCTGATAACCATCCAGGATTCTGGCATCATGACTTTATATATGAAAAAACAATTCCATGTCGTGATAAAGAAGACAAACAAATGGCATACAGAAAAATAGCCTATGATTGATACTATTTTGATATCATAAAATATGAATGTACAACTGGAGTCAAACCTTAAAAAGAAGATTTTAATATCAAATTGTGGTCATCTTTTGAGGATAGGATTATAATAGACTTTAAATTTCTTTTGTCTGTTTTAAAGTGACTTCCCTGTTTATATGATCATTATGGCTTTCATTACAAAAACATAAGCCTTTTGAAGAAAAATTTCAAACTCCCTAGTGTAAGTTACAGCACTGCTATTACAACATCTTGAAAAAGTCATTGGAGAGCTGCATGTTCATCAAGGTGAAAGAGAGAACCATGAAATAACAAAGTAATAAATATTTTCATAAGAAGGTAGTTTATATCATTATCTACACATTTTTGTTCTAATAGAATAAGATGATATAATAAGAATTTGGTGCTTCTATAATTGTAGGTATCGCAAGGGGTTTGAACTGCAGTCATCTCTTTATTCGGGAATTAACCTTGCAGTTTTGCTGATTGTTGCTGGACAACAATTTGAAACTTCCATGGAACTAAGGAAAATAGGTAATGCTGTTTATTATTGCAGATGTTGATGCTTCCATTATACAAGTTTAGCATTAAAAATTATGTTCAAATAACTAGCAATATATTTCAAAAGAAACAATCAGTTACTACCTGATAACATACCTGAGACACAGCAGCCAAAGTAAAATGTCCACATGTCCTCTGCTCAAAGGCTTGTGTGATGTGACCGAAACTAGGAAGATTTTTTTCATGACTATTAAAAATTCAAATTCTGAAGGTGTTCGACTGAATAGTTTGTTGGGAAGAAAAGGGAGCTTGGAGAAAATGAACAATTACTGGGATGTTGGCCAGTTCTTCACTGTCAGCATGTTGGCCAATGATGTCGGGAAGGCGGTGCAAGCAGCAGAGAGGCTATTCAAGCTGAAACCTCCAGTCTGGTAAGTCCAGTCTGTGCTTTGTCATCACTCTTCTTAATATCTGATTCACTAGAAGGACTCGCAGAACTCAGAAATGCTGTTATACTCAGTTATGGTTTGCTACCATGAGAGAATACAGATTAAATCAGCAAAGGCGAAAAGCACGTGGAGACCATGTACAAGCTTCCAGTGGAATCATATGGACAGTACTTAATTCTCCCAGCAGCAATAGAGACAGCATGCTTGTAGCATATCCAGCCAGGAAAACTTACTGAGCCTTGATGTACAGGGTTTTTATTGGAGGTGAATCATGTAGGCATTGAATGTTCATGTGATTGATCTTAAGACCTCAGTGTCCAACCCCTCCAGTATTCAAACTCATACAGTGAGTGGCCCAAGGCCTCCACCACGACTCATATTTTTAGCAGAAACTGTGTGACATGGCCCAAGGCTTCAGGGAAACAGGCAGAATACTCCAGAGATTTAGAAGTAATGCCTCAGTATTCAGTCAAAGGCCAGATCTTTTTTTGGAATGAGTAAAATTTGGACAATCGAGGCCTGGTGAGTACCCAAACAAATTGGTTGGAGTCTAGCTGGCTTGCCTTTCTAGGATAGCTCCAGACTTTATCCTCAAAGAGAAAAATAATACTATGATGCTTTCAGCTGAACCATCTCCATTTAGTACTTTGTGAAATATAGTTAATGTCACTGCCTGATCACTATACTTCAAAAAGTTCACTTAGCCTGAAGACAGCAAAGGTATAGGCAGAGTCAAGACTTCATAGCATTAAAATCTACCTGGTCAGAGTCTTAAGTTTTTAAAAAATGAGTTTCAGATTGGTGATTATTAGTGGTAAAGGGGAGGATGGGGATGGGAGGGAAGTAGGCATACCTATTAGAGGACAACATGAGGGATCCTTGTGGTGATGGAAATCTCTATCTTGACCGTTTGGATGGCAACATTCTGGTTGTGATATTGTACTACAGATTTGCAAGATGTTGCCATTGAGGTAAACTGGGTCAAGAATTTATGGGTTCTGTCTGTATTATTTCTTACAACTCCACCTAGATCTAAAATAAAAAGTTTAATTAAAAACAAAAGACAGTGGGTTTGAAAGTTTGCTATTTTGTAATTTTAACTTAAGAACTGCTTGCCTTTTTTTTTTTTTTTTTTAACTTGAGGGGATTTCCAGCAATAGCCAGAAAGCTTGATAGCTGAAAAACTTTGGCTTTTTGTTGTTTAAGAGAGTTATAGCATGCTTTCCAGTCACTATGCCTTGGATGCTATGTACTAAACTTGAGGTTTAGGCCAATGTTGGTAAAAAGCCATGTTTTATGATTTTGTTGGACTTACTTATTTTGCCTATTGTTTGGGCTTCTTATAATTAGTTATATGGTTGCCAAATGATTGTGTATGATGTACTGTGACAGAATATGCATTTAAGTAAATAAAGCTTTGGAGTAGATAGTTTTAAAGGGAGTACACGTGAACTCAGTTCTGATTTATGGGGTTTTGTGATTATTTTTTCCCCAGGTATCTGCGATCATTAGTTCAGAACTTGTTATTAATTCGGCGCTTCAAGAAACCCATTATTGAACATTCACCTAGGCAAGAACGGCTTACCTTCTGGTTAGATATAATTTTTGAAGCAACAAATGAAGTTAGTAATGGACTCAGATTTCCAGTAAGTTATGCTAAATTCAGTTTTCTTCCTGTCTTCCTTTCTTCCTTTCTTTTCCTGATGCTGGGGATGGAACCCAGGGCCTTGCACATGCTAGGCAAGTTCCCTACCACTGAGCTATGTCCCCAGACCTAAATTCACTTTATAAGATAGACAAAAGAAACTTGGGATTATTATTACCTTAATTATTGAATACTCTAAAGGGAAGGAAACAGTAATTTCATATGTTAGAATAACTACCAATCCTATGCAGAATCATCAAGTGATAGATCAACTCCCTGGGGAAAAGTTGGCTATATCCTCTCAAGTAATGGCTCTCAACTTAGAGTAATTATGTCCTCAAGGGACATTGGAAATGTCTGGAGACATTTTTGGTTGTCACAACTGGGGGAAGAGGTTGTTCTACTGGTCACCAGCATGCTAGAGACCAGGGAGGTTGCTACCCATTCTACAATATACAAGACAGCCCCCACAATAAAAAAAATATATATTATCTAGCCCAAACTATCAATAAGGCCAAGGCGGAGAAATCCTGCTCTTAAAAAATATAGTCCTAACAATAGAAACATGGAATTTAAAACTGTCTCCTATTAAGCTTTGGTTTGCCTCCAGTGCCACTGATTAATATTTAAAACTTTATTGAAAAATCAGAATTGCTTTTAGCTTTTGTTTCAATTCTATAGCTATTTATAAAGGTTCATAAGTAAGATATCTAAGTGTCCTGGAAATTGCACTTCAGTAATTATGTTTCATATTTATGCCATGAGATTTTTGTGAACATGTTTTTAAGAATTTCATTAAGTACCTAATAAAAGATGGAGTTGTTGGAAAGGACTGTGATAATTATTTTGTTCCTGTGTAATACATTTTAAAATCTTCTTTTAATTATGAAAATTTCAAATCTGAAAGGTACAAACCCATAATGAAATGGACACTTGTGAAAGCTTTTTTGGGGTTTAGCTGTCTTAAACATATTGCTTTATTTGTTTTGAAGATGTATTCCTACTCCCCCCCAACTCTCTCTTTTTCCCTCTCTTCCCATTTCTCCACCTGCCCCCTTTTCTCTCCCTCCTCCTCCCCCTCCTCCTTCTCCTTTACTCTTTTTTAAAAAATATTTATTTTTTAGTTATAGTTGGACACAATATCTTTATTTTATTTTTATGTGGTGCTGAGGATCGAACCTAGGGCCTCACACGTGCTAGGCGAGCGCTCTACCACTGAGCCACAACCCCAGCCCTCCTTTACTCTCTTAACCAAATAACACCTTACCAATGAAAATGTCACTCACTTTTCATCTCCTCACGTCTTTACAGACTTGGGACCTGCCATCCATTCCTTCTGCTTCTTTATTTCTCTCAAAAGCTGCAACCTCCTCCCTCTTTCTTTTGTCACCTCCTCAGACAGGCCTTTCTTGGCTGCCATGTCTGAAGAAGTGCCCCTCACTCTTCTGCCTTATTCTCTTTAAGACACTACATGACGTTAGGATACATAACCCTATCTGGTTCTCTGTCACCCCATTGAATCACAGCCCAGCTATACTCTTGGCTCCTTAAGCCATGCTTAGCATAGTTGGTCTTTGAAGACTATTTGTTGAGTATAAATCTTCCCACTTCCTCTCTGGGTAGGGTCACCTGTTTTAGATTCACTTGTCTTACAAGAATCTTCTTATCTTAGGTTCTGGTGATAGAGCCAACCAAAGTCTACCAGCCTTCTTATGTTTCTATCAACAATGAAGCTGAGGAGAGAACAGTTTCTTTATGGCATGTATCACCCACAGAAATGGTAAGGGAAAAAGTCACAAGCAGTTCTCTTTCTTCTCTATTATTTAATCAAAGATTCAATTTTCAACTAGGAAGAATTTGTGTGTTACAGTTGGAAAGCATAGTTCACCCATTCTTAACTTCTGAAATATAGAACTGTATGGGAAGGTATAATCACAGATGAAAGAAAAGAAGCAGATTTTCCCCCTTTTATTTTTATTTTTTAATATTTTGTATTAGTTGTAATTGGACACAATACCTTTATTTTATTTTTATGTGGTGCTAAGGATCAAACACAGTTCCCCACACGTGCTAGGCGAGTGCTCTACCGATGAACCACAACCCCAGCCCCTGGATTTTTTCCATTTTTATGTATTGGGTATATGTATATATGGGGGAGCATATGTGGGTTTGTAAATGGACATATATGTGTTTATATGTAATATTTTCAAATATATGACAAGTACAGGTTTTTAAATAGTGAAATCATAAGGAAGTAGATAGGGCATATGCAGAGAAAATCCTTCCATGTTTCTCAGACCTTGTTTCCATTTCTATCTCCATCCCCACCCCCAGTGATTGAGTGGATAACCCTTATCTTTTCTCTAAACTCACTTATATATGTATAATATATATTATACGAGTTTTATTCACAAAGGCATTTTACATTACAGTGTGATCATATAAGCATATACTTATTGCTTTGTAACTTTTAAACTCATGCAAACATCATGGGAAGTTTTTCAGGTAGCACACACAGATCCATCTTGATTCTTTAAGTGTCATATTCCCTGGTTTCATGTCATATTGTATATTTTGTGGTCTAGATCAACCTGTTATTTCACCTCATTCTTACTGATGCATATTTAGGTCCCTGATTTTTAACTCTTCTGATGGTATGCTAGTGTGCGTCTTATGCTCATGGAAGCATTTCAGAAGCAGAGATTTCCTAGAATTGGACTTGCTGGACCCAAGGGTACATGTATTTAAAACTTTGATAGTTGCTATCAAATTATACCATTCTAGTTTGTACTCGTACCAATAGTACACAAGATTACAGAAATGCTGGCTGGGCTTGATGTTTTGTGGTAATGGTGATATTTTCATTTCTTTATCTAAAGTACTTCATCAGTTTGTTCTTTCATAAATTTTGCATTTAATAAAGAAACATAGCACCTTTGACAAACACTTTAGATAGATTTATTTGCTGTGCATGTGTTTCCATGGAGCGTGAAAAGACTTCTGCCATTAACTTGGCAAAGAGGATTATTTTTCTTCCTGGAAGCAAGAGTGTGAATGATAATGTTGTAATCAGGTAAAAATAACCAATATCTTCACAAATAACTTGCAACATTAAACAATAAGCAGAGGCTCGATTCATATTAAAAACTCCTTATCAGATCTATTCATGATATCTCAAGTGAGGGCCAATAACCTTGTCCAATATTTAACATTAGACTAATCTTCTTATCATTGAAAATAGTCAGCAGCCATTAGTGAGGACAAGCTAGCATGATGTGCTTGTGTTTTTATCCTGCACTCTGTACATTAAATATCTGAGTACAAAAGAAGCATATATTTGTTCAACCTATGATAAAGTGCACATATGGCATTCATACAGATAAATCTCATTTGAAGAATGCACACATCTTTTATTTAATTTGCCTCTTCTTTGGGTATTTTTTCTCTTTTTTATAATATACTAGGGATTGAACCCAGAGGTGGTCTACCACTGACCTGCATCCCCAGCCCTTTTTTATTTTTTATAAGGTCTTGAGATAGGGTCTTGCTCACTGAGGTGGGCCTCAAACTTGTGATCCTCCTGCCTCAGTCTTTCCTGAGTCATTGGGATTATAGGCATGCACCAGCAAGCCTGGCTTCTTTGGGTATTTTTTTTAAACCTGTTATTGAAGTTGAGCCTCCCTAATCCAAAAACCTGAAATGCTCCAAAATCTGAAGCTTTTTTAACGTCTATGTTCAGAAAGTCTCAGGTTTGGGAACATTTCACATTTCAGATTTTCAGATCAGGGATGCTCAACCAGTAAAAATCTATGCAAATATTCCAAAATATGAAAAACTGCAAAATCTAAAACACTTCTGGTTTCAAACATTTCAAATAAGAGATATTTGGTCTGTGTAACTTACATACAAACAGTGCATAGATCATAAATGTATAGCTTGATAGAGTTTTTACAAAGTGATCACACCTCAGTAGCCCCTGCTCCTGCTGTCTTTGTGCAGACCTCTAAGTGCCATCTCCATGAAGCACCCTGTTCTCAGTTCAGAAAATCCTACCAACCTTGCTTATTTTCTTTGTATCATTGATACCACTCTCATAAAAGAGAATTTCTAAAATAGGGGTCTGTAATCTCACTCTTTCTTTATATAGATGTAAAATACCAGATATTTAAACAAATAATTCCAGAAAAAAAAAACTGATGCTATTAAAGTAACTCTTTATACTTATAAAGCTGAAATGGTTTTGATTTCATGGAATTCTACCAACTCAGCCCACCTCATTTGAAACCTATAATGGTTGCTGACTCTCAATAGAAATTTTCATTGGTACATATAATATCTCACTGGTTGTAAATGTTTTGCTTTGCATATAGTCTGTAATAAGAAATGGAAAAGAATTATATACATAGCAAATGTTAGTTTTCCTTGACTGATGAAATGTTTTCCATAAGTGCTCCTAGTTGTCTGAGAGAAATATAAATTGCCTTTTTCTCTGAGAGGAATCCTTTGAAACGTTTGCCTTCATTTACAATTTTGAAATTGTATGGATTGTGAAAAGCAAGCAGATTTGCCTAGAGTGAGATGACATTTTCTACATAGTGTTGCATTTTTTCTCCTGGTAGGCTATGTATGGATAATAAAAAGAGAATACCACATACATATATACAACTCCTTGTACCATTGCTTTTAAATTAGATTAAGTTCCTGGTTTATTAGCCAAGAATTCAGAAATTCACTGGAAGCAGGAAGGCAGTAATATGCTAGTAAATGTTGAACAGCCAACTTTCTGGGGATAAAGGCTAATTTTTAGTGTTTATTGATTCCTGTAGTGTAAATACTACCAGGGATCAATTTTAAGCAACCTCAGGCCAACAAAATGGATTTTCCTGTTTAATATTATTTTTTTACACTTGTGATGTATTCATATTGTAGCCTATGGTTTTTCTGAAACTAGAGTTTAGACATTCCATCCAAGGCTTAACCTTGTACAGTTTAAGGGCAAGAAATGGTAATAAAGTAAGAGGATGAAGTTGTTTTTTTTTTTAAAGTGTGCTTTGGAGTTTCTGGGAAGATGGCAGAGTAAAGGAGATGACTTTCCAAGTTGCTCTGTGGCATGAGACCAAGGTAGTAGATGCATAGCTTCTCAACAAGGTGGGCAAAAGAGGGTTATGGGAGCCAACCCACCGTGGGCAAAGGAGGGGGGACTTAGAGGAAGCAGCATTTCAGGTAGTGTGGTGGTGTGTCTTGGTGTGGAGAAATCTAAGATCAAAAACCCTCCCTGAACTTATCTGAACCAAGGGGTGGCAAACTATGCAGGTCCTTGAGAAGGACTCTTGGGTGTTAAATAAGTAAGTACCGGTGGTATCTCAGGGAAAGAGGAGCCAGGAGCCACTTTGGGGCAAGCACGCCCACTGTGACATGAATGGGACTCGGTAGATCAGGAAAAACACACACAGAGAAAGCCATAGTGTCCTGGCAGGTGCCTAACAAGGAACCTAGGCAGTGTCTGGCATAACAGAAGAGAAATTGTCTTGGAGTGGACTGTACCTAGGGGGACTTCAGTTATAAGGGCTAAGGGGTGCCTTTGTGTCTGGTGGCTCATATGCTGGCCTGGAAGTCAGAGTAGGTATGGGGTGAATACACTCAGAAACTACACCTGGGAAAGCTGAACTCCTGGGCAAAAATGAGTACAATCATGGTCACCCTGATCCATGATTGGATTTCTAGGGAAGTAATCAAGAACTAAACCCATGGAAATAATCAAGGTAAAGTCTAGGCTTAGGGGCAGGTCCACCTAGTCTCTCCAAAGAAGGCATCTTTCAACCTAGCCAGGCAAGACCTGAAGGCCAAGTAGGTCCCAGCACCACCTGCTGGATCTCCCCTCACAGAATGCACTGCAGAAACAGTACCTTGGGTGTGCACAGAAGGGTCAAAATGCAAACTGACTGTACAACTTACCCATCCCATCTCATGCTGGTGAGAAGGGAAATTGAGTCTTATATCAAACAGCTTCAGTCTTAGGCCACTATAACTAGTAACTCAGCCACACAATAACAGGAAGGGGTTAACATCCCCCATACCTTGTTCTTTCTATCAGTACTTTACACAAGAATAATTGATAAGAAAGACTATTAAAGATAGATATTGACCATTCCAGTCAAATATTTTGACTACTTCAGTGGAGCCTTCTAGTCTACACCAAGATATTTTTTTTTACATATACATATTCTTAAATTAGTTTTTTTAATTCTTTCAATGTGTGTATGTGTGTGTATTCCCCAAATGATAATGCACCCAATTACATGGAAGAAATACTCCATGACGTTAAATTCCAAATAGACCCCAACATAATAAATAATACCAGGAGATTTCAAAACAACCTTATCACCAATAGATAGGTCATCAAAACAAAAAAATCAACAAAGATATCTCCAACATAAACAACACTGTAAATCAAATAGACCTAACAGACATCTACAGAATATTCCACCCCAAAACAGCTTAAATTTACCTTCTTCTTAGCTGCACTTGGAACTTTTTTATAAAATCCTTTGTATTTTAGGCCATGAAGCAAATCTTAGCAAATACAAAAAAGACTGATATAATCCCATGTATCATATCAGATCATAATGGAATGAAGCTAGAAATCAACAGCAAGCAAAATAATAGAAGCCACATAAATGCATGGAGATTGAAAAATACTCTATTAAGTGAAGAATGGATCAAAGAAGAAATGAGAACAGAAATCAAGAAATTCTTAGAAATGAACAAGAACAAAGACATATCAAAGTCTCTGGGACAGTATGAAAGCAGTTCTAAGGAAAATTTATAGCACTGAGTATCTACATTAAAAAATTAAATCCCAAATAAATAAGATAATGTTCCACCTTAAGGCCTTAGAAAAAGAAGAACAAACTAACCCCCAAACCAGTAGAAGACAGGAAATAATTAAGATTTGAGCTGAAATCAATGAAATTGAAAATAAGAAAATGATATACAAGATCAATGTAGCAAAGAGTTGGTTCTTGGAAAAGATAAATAAAATTGACACAATCATAGCCAAACTAACCAAAAGAAAGAATGAGAAGAAGCGAATCAACAAGATTAGGGATGAAAAAGGAGATATCCCACATACCCCTCTGAAATCCTGAGGATTATCAGATCCTATTTTGAAAATTTATACTCCAATAGACTGGAGAGTCTGGAAGACATGGACAAATTTCTTGACACACATGACCTGCCCAAATTGAACAGGAAGGTATAGAAATCCAATATAAAGAAATGAAACAGACCAATATAAAGTAATGAAATAGAAACAGCAATTAAAATCTTTCCAAAAAGGAAAAGCCCTGGACCTGATGGCTGCTCAGCTGAGTTCTACTAGACCTTTGTGAAAGATTGGTGTCAGTTCTTCTGTAAATTATACCATGAAGTTGAAGGAGAGGGAACACTCCCAAATACTTTTATGAAGCTAATATAACTATACCAAAACCAGGCAAAGACATTTCAAGGAAAGAAAACTATAGACCGATACCCTGATGAACATAGATGCAAAAATCCTAAATAAAATATTAGCAAACCACATTCAAAAACACATCAAGAAGATAATATACCATGATCAAGTGGGTTTCATTCCAGAGTTGCAAGTTTGGTTCAACATATGCAAATCAATAAGTGTGACTCATCACTTAAAACAGAATTAAGAACAAAAAGCACATGATCATCTCAGTAGATACAGAAAAGACCTCTGATAAAATCCAACACCCATTCATGTTAAAAAATGTTGGAGAAGCTAGGGATCAAAGGAACTTACTTCAACATCATAAGGGCTACTTATGACAAACCCAAAGCCAACATCAAACTAAATGGAGAAAAACTAAAAGCATTTCCAGTAAATCCAGGAACAAGCTAAGGCTGTCCACTTTCACCACTCCTATTCAATATAGTCCTTGAAACATTAGACAGAGCAATCAGGCAAGAAAAGGAAATCAAAGGTATACAAAGAAGAAAAGAAGAAGTCAAAGTATCTCTGTTTTCCAATGATATGATCCTCTATCTAGAAGATCTAAAAAAACTCCACCAGAAGACTTTTAGAGTTTATACATAAATTTAACAAAGTAGCAGGGTACAAGATCAACACCCATTAATCAATTGCTTTTCTATACTCCAACAGTGATTCAGTCAAAGAAGAAATCAGAAAAACCGTACCACTCACAATAACCTTAAAATAAAATACTTGGGAATTAATCTAACCAATGAGCTAAAAGAGCTCTACAGTGAAAAATCATAGAACACCAAAGAAATAAATTAAAGAAGACCTTAGAAAATGGAAAGATATCTCATGTTCTTGGATAGGCAGAATTAATATTGTCAAAATGGCCATAATACCAAAAGCAATATACAGATTCAATGCAATCCCCATCAAAATACCAATGACATTCTTCACAGAATTAGAAAAAAATCTTAAATTCATTTGGAATAAAAAGAGATCAAGAATAGCCAAAGTAATACTAAGCAGGAAAAGTGAAGCAGGACTTCACTTCACAATATATGATCTGAAATCATACTACAGAGTATGTAATAACAAAAACATCATGGTATTGGCACCAAAATAGAAATGAAGACCAATGGAATAAAATAGAAGACACAGAGACAAACCCATAAACCTATAGCCATTTGATATTTGACAAGGATGTCAAAAATATGTCTTGGAGAAAAGACTGCCTTTTTACAAATGGTGCTGGGAAAACTGGATAGCTATATGTAGAAAAATGAAATCAGACCCCTATCTTTCACCCTGCACAAAACTCAAATCAAAATGGAATTAGGCCAGAAACCTTAAAACTGCTAGAAGAAAACATAGGGTCAACACTCCATCCTATAGGTGCTGGTGCAGACTTCCTTAACAAGACCCCTCAAAGCACAAGAAAAAAAACCAACAATCAATAAGTGGGATGCCATTAAACTAAAAGTTTCTGCATAGCTAAGGAAATGATTAAAAGCATGGAGAGAGAGCCTAGAGAATGGAGAAAGTCTGGCCAGCTACTCCTCCAAAAGGAGATTAATATCCAGAATATGCGAAGAACTCAAAAACCTTAACACGCCCCTCGCAAATAACCCAATCAATAAATGGACAAAGGAACTGAACAGGAACTTCTCAATAGAAGATACACAAAAGGCCAATAAATACATGAAAAAAAATATTCAACATCTCTAGTAATCAGGAAACTCAAATCAAAACTACACTGATTTCTTCTTACTCCAGTCAGAATGGCAGTGATCAAGAATACAAACAACAATATATGCTGGTGAGATTGTGGGGAGAAAAAACACTTGTACATTGTTGGTGGGACTACAGACTAGTATAACCACTCTGGAAAGCAGTTTGGAGATTTCTCAAAAAACTAGGGATGGAACCACCATATGACCCAACTATCCCACTCCTGGGTATTTTCCCCAAAGATCTAAAATTGGCATGCTATAGTGACACAGCCACATCATTGTTTATAGCAGCACAATTCACAATAGCGAATGCATAGTCAGATGTCTGTCAATAGATGAATAGATTATGAAATTGCAATCACACACACACACACACACACAATGGAGTTCTACTTGGCCACTAAAAAGAACAAAATTATCACATTTACCCATAAATGGATAGAAAGGGAGAATATCATAGTAAGTGAAATTAGCCAAACTCAGAAACTCAAAAGGTTTTCTCAAATGTGGAAGCTAGAGCGAAATAAAGGAAAGGTGGAAGGAAGGATAAAGTTACAGAAGGAACCAATAAAATACAAATTAATAGATGAGGGAAAAGAAGTCTAGCATACAGACTAGAGGAAGGAGAGGGGGAGGGGCAGGACGGGAGGGAAAAGGGAGAAGGAAAAGTGGGGGTCATGAACAGAAATTGATTTCTATGCATGAATGAGTTGTTGGGATGAACCCAGCTACTATGTATGACCATAAAGCTCTAATAAAAATAAATAAATAGATAATAAAGTGCACTTTGGAGGTGAGCATGGGTGGTGCATGTCAGCGACTTGGGAAATTGAGGATTGCAAGTTCAAGCCCAGCCTCAGCAATTAAGCAAGGTCCTAAGCAATTTTAGCAAAACCCTGTCTCAAAATAAAAAGTAAAAACAAAGACTGGGGATGTTGCTCAGTGGTTAAACACCCCTGGGTTCAATCCCTGGTACCTACCTCCCAAGAAAGTACATTTTGGTACAGTTTTTCTATTAGTCATGATAGGCCAGATGCTAAAACAAATAGCTCCTAAACCTCAACATCTTGATAAAAGTTTGTCTATGCCTCATGTCATATCTGGGTTGGCAGGGTCCCCATTCCATCTTGAAGTGGCTGGGGAAAGAGAAAGTAGAGGATTTTTGTGGAGGATTTTATGCATCACACCTACAAGTAGTACTCTTACTCCTGCTCACATCTCATTCATCAGAACTCTGCCACATGGCCCCATGTACCTGCAAGGGAGGATGGGAAATGTTGTTTAGCTGTGTGCCCAGGGAGAAAAGGAAATGAAGATTAATGAACACTGAACAATATTTACCATAGTCTTCTCCAAACGTTTTTGCAAGACACTCAACTTAGATGGATGATTCCCAAACCTGTTTTAGAGTTTGCCTGCTATGTTAATAGAATATGAAAGACCATTTATTATGTACTTATTGTATGCTTATTATTTATATCTCAAATTATTTATTTCAAGTTTATATTTCACTAAACTGGATTAGAGATACAGATAGATTTTTTTTTTCACAGCTCTCAAAAGTTTATTTCCCATTTACACAACTATGCAAAGTTGGAGCTGAGTTGGTTCCAAGCACAGATAGATTTTTATAATACATTAGAAAATATTTCAGGTGTTCCAAGTTATGCAAAGTATATTGCTCTAAACCCTAACCATTATTGAAAATAAAATAGTAGAAATGATTGACTATAGTATGAAACCAAAACTGATCTTTTAATTTGGAAAAAACCAACCTATGGACTTCTGTCTTTGATACTTGCAGAAACAAATCCACGAATGGAATTTTGCAGCCTCTTCAATTAAAGGAATAAGGTAAGAACATAAAAGAAAATGTAACTATTATTTTAATACATGTAATAGTGAATGTTTGATGCACTTTAAGGTTACCACTTATTCATGAGTTGTGATGTTCTTATTTTTAACTGAACCCAAAATATTTTCTATTTTGTTGCCCTGCCTGAGGTCCATAATGTGCTGCTAGTAAAAGTCTCTTGGATTATTAGAGTGGCTTTTCTCACATCCAGCAGAAGAAACTCTTGTCTCAAATAAGTTATATTCAAGTACTCAGGATCAATCCAGGAGTTATTTGCTAATAGCACTTGGGTGGGATCTCCTGGACAGAGCAATGAAACTAGGGATATTGTTATTAGGGAGGGAGTGAGGCAGTGTACTCCAGGGAGAAGTATGGCTCTTGCTTTTTTATTCAGGAATGGTGACAATTTGTGTTTTTTTTCCAAGCAGCAATAACACACTTCTGCTGCATTTATCACCCTGCCAGCACTTTCAAGGGTGGGAATAGTTCTGAAGTAGATGTGAGTTCTAGTCCCTTTGTTGTGTGATGTTGGGAAATCACCCAACCTCTTTAGGTTCCATTTTCTTCACTATTTTTACCAAATCCAAGAACTTGGACTAGAACTTTTTGTCCTCTCTTTGATTCTATGACTACCTCAGGCCACTAAATAAGTCTCCAGTTATCTCTGGTCACATTATAATTCTGTCCTGAGCACATTAGGGCTTCAACTGGAATAATGATTACATCACTTTTAAGGGAGGGAAATAATTTAAATACACAGTAGTACATTTGGATAATATTACCCAGAAAACCCAGTGTAACCCAAATATGTTAAAGATTTTCAAAAATATATTACTTAGTAATGAAGCTGTAGAAGAATATGTAGGTGAGGACCTTCTGTTTATACCTTTTTTTTAGTCACTCTAGACTGATGCTGTTCCAACACATTATTTGTCATGTCATCTATATCATGAAAAATGGTCTAAGTTTTGTACTCAGTAGGAATTGACTTAGAAGGGACCAGATGAAGTGGCTTTATTTGAAAAGCTAATTGTGGAAGAGAATCTAGCCTGATTCTTCATAGTGCCACCTGGCAGGGTGAGAGCCATTTTGGAGGCTTTGGCCCAATGTGGGTAATGAACTTTCTAACAGTGAGATCTGTCAGCAGATGGAGTGTAGTGACATTCTGTTGCTGGATATGTTCAGGCAAGCTGAATATTACGTTTGAGGTGCTGTGGAGTTGGATCCACACTTGGTTGGAAATGAACCAGAGAATATTTAAAGACCTTTCTTGAGCTAAGATGAAATGTTTATTTCTGTTAACCTTGTGTGACCACTAATACTGTGTCCTGATATTTTCCAAGTTTAGAAATTCCTTTGATACTACCGTAAATGACTTTATAAATACCTTGCCTGTCTTTGTGTGTGTGATTCTAAACTCCTAGAGGACAAGGGATGATGGTTTTTACCCTTTTCTGCTCTGCTTAGCACTGAGTATAGAAGAAATTCTTGATACACATAACTCAAACACAAACAAGATAAAGTTCTCTGGTATTTAAATTTCATAGAGAAATAAAAGGCAAAATGTGGGGTTTGTGTTAAAAGATTAATGAATCAGGAATTTGTGAAGTGAAAGAAAATCTGTTACTAGATTTTCTCAAAAGTTTAAAATTGGTGTCACAACTTACATACAAGCATTCTTATGTTTTGCAATTTTACAGCCTATCTAAGTTTGATGAACGGTGTTGTTTTCTTTATGTCCATGATAACTCTGATGACTTTCAAATCTACTTTTCCACTGAAGACCAGTGTAGTAGGTGAGTTATAGCTGACTCAGCTATTTGCAATCTATTGATGGTAAATAATTGTTGAAGGGCCTTTGCTGTGAAGATGTTTGTTTGCTCTATTGTCTTCTTGAAATTTTAATTTACAGAAAATGATCATACTGCTTTGAGATGTAATATACATACCTCACAACCATTTAAAGTGTACAACTCAATTTTTAGTATATTTATAATTTGACAACCACCATCACAATGTAATTTTAGAATTTTTCATCACCCCCCAAAGAAGCCCAGTATGCATTAGCAATCACTCCCCATTTTCTCCCCAACCTCACCCACATAACCCTAGCCCTATGCAACCTTTCTTTCTAACTCTGTGAATTTGCCTGTTTTGGACATTTCATATACATTGAGTCATATAATGTATGGTCTTTGGTGACTGACTTCTTCCATTTAGCATAGTGTTTCCAAGGTTCATTGATATTGTAGCATATATCATTACTTTGTTGTTTGTGTCTGAATAATATTTCATTGTATGAATATGCCACATTTTATTTATCTGTTCATCAGTTGATAGGCATTTGGTTTGCTTCCACTTTGGGGCTATTATGAATTTTGCTTCTATGAACATTTATGTTCAAGTTTTTGTGTGGACATATCAAAATGTTGGATCTTATGGGAATTTTGTGTTTAACCTTTTGAGGAACTGCCAGACTGTTCCCTGTTTACATTCTCATCAGTAGTGTATGATGGTTCCAATTCCTCCACATCCTTGCCAATGCTTGTTATTGTCTGTGCTTTTGATTATAGCCATTCTGGTGGGTGTGACGTAGAATCTCATTGTGGTTTTAATTTGCATTTCTCTAATGACTAGTGATATGAGGATATTTTCTTGTGCTTTTGGACCATTTACATATCTTCTTTGAAGAAATAGCTATTCAAATCATTTGCCCAATTTTTAAAGCTCACTGTTTTTCTTTTTTTTTAGTTGAAACCAGGGGCAGTTTACCACTGAGCTACATCCCTGGCCCTTTTTATTTTTTATTTTGAGACAGGGTCTCGCTAAGTTGCTTAGGGTCTCACAAAGTTGCTCAGGCTGGCCTTGAACTTGCAATCCTCCTACCTCAGACTCCCAAGTTGCTGGGATTACAGGTGTGTGCCACTGCGTCTGGCAAAGTTCACGTCTTTTACTTATATGTATGTTTTGCCCAGAATTCCCCAGTGTAACCCTTTACTACATTTATTTTACATTTTCTCTATATGCATATGGTGGTTTTTACTGAACTGGTCAGGAGCAAGTTGTAGACATAATGCTGCATTACCTCTAAATACTTCAGCATATTTCCTAAAAAAAAAAAAAGGAATGTTTACTTATGTAATTATAGTAGTTACCTAATCATACTGTATAAGATTGATATGGTACTATAATCTAGAAGCCATTTTCAAGTTTTATTTATTGTCTCCCTAAAACCTTTTATGGTAAAATAAGACTTTTTCCTGGCCCACAGTCTAATCCACAATCATATAACATTTACTTGCTGTGTCTGTATACTCTCCTTTCATCTGAAAGAGATTATCATTAGTCTTTGTCTTTCTTAATACTTTCAAAGAGTGCAGGTAATAAGTTTGCAGTCCTTTGATTTGAATTTGTTTGCTGTTTGCTTATCAGTATATTCATGTTATGTATTTGGGGCAGGAATACCACAAAAGTAATGCTGTGTCTTTCCCAGTGCCTCATATCAGGGGATACACAATATCTTTGTGTCATTTCTGGTGATATTAATTCGGGTCAACAAGTAAAAGTGATGTTTGCCGTGTTTCTCCAAATTTTGTCTATTTTTAATTGGGTATTTGTCTCTAAATTATTGAATTTTAAGAGTTTTTTTTTTATATATATACAATCCATACAAGTCCCTTTTTAGGTGTGGTTTGCAAATACTTAATTCCATTCTGTGGATTGTCTTGTTGAAAAACTTGCAGCACAAAAGTTTTTAATTTTGAAGTTCATTTTATCATTTTTTCTTTTGTCAGTTGTACTTTTAGTTCATATTTAGGAAGGCTTTGCCTAACACAAGGTGTTCTATGATTTTTGTATTTTCTTCCAAGAGTTTTATAGTTTTAGCTGTTACATTTAGAGATAATCCATTTTAATATAGTGTGAGGTAGGGGACCCAGCTTCATTCTTTTGCATGTGGATATGTGATTCTCCAAGTACTATTGGTTGAACGTACTATTTGTCCTCCATTAAGTGGTTTTGGCACTCTTAGAAAATCAGTTGGCTGTAAATGTTTAATTCTATTCCACTAATCTATGTATCATTCCTTTGGCAAGTACCACACTTTCTTGATTAGGGTATTTTTGTAGGAAGCTGTAAAATCAGGAAAAATGAGTCCTTCAACTTTATTCTTATTTTTTAAGATTGTTTTGTTATCCTTTTATTAGAAAATTTACCTTTATAACTGTCATTCAGTACTCAGTGCCTTTTTTGTTTTACTTTTTTTTTTAGATCACACATCTTGATTGATTGATTTTGGATTATTTTTTCTCCCTTATTCCCATTTACTTACATTTTTTTCCATATTTTTGTTGGTTCAGTATAATTACATATAAGGGTGGATTCCTTGTTACGTATTCATATATGCACATGATGTAACAATATAATTTGGTCAGTATCATTCCCCAGTATTTCTCCTTTCCGTTCCTTCTTCCTTTCCCTGGTTTGTCATTTTAATAATTTTTAATTGGGGTATAATATACAGTAAGTAAAGTGTATAAAGTGCACTTAAGTATACAGTTAAATTTTTACATATATCTACACCCATGTATCCATCTCCCATATCAGTGCCCCAAAAGGTGCCTTGTGCCCCTTTCTAGCCATTAAACCCCCTTCAATGATAAGTATTTTTTATTTCTATCATCAGTTAGTTTTGCCCATTCATGACCTTCAAATAAATAAAATTATTCATACTCTTTTTATTTCTCCCTTCTTTCCCTTAAGATAATAGCCATGAGATTCAGCCATGATGTATGTATCTGTTCATTCTTTTTATTTCTCATGGTGTTCCATTATGTGAATGTACAACCATTTATTTGTTCTCCTATTGATGAACATTTGGATTATTTCTAGTTGTGGTTATTATGAATAAAACTTGAATGAATATTCTTACACATGCCTTTTGGTGAAAATATACATTAAATTCTGTTGGGCATATACCTAGGAGTGGATTACTTGGTTTATGTTAGCTTTATATTTAGCTTTGATTAATTCGTTTTCCAAAATGGTCTCGTGAATTTATACTCCCCAAAGTAAGGTATGAGAGTTGCTTAACAACAATTAACAATAAATATAATTCTGAGAATTTTAGTTACTATGGTGAGTACATAGCATGTGTCTCCTAAGAAGCCTGACTTTGGGTTTCCCCGTATTCAAATATTAGAAGAAAAGGTGGCATGGATTAGTTATAAAAATGAATGTTTTATGGTCTTGCAGAAATTCTCCTGAAGCATGTACTGTTCCTCCTTACCATCTTTTTAAAAAAATATCTTTATTTTATTTATTTATTTTTATGTAGTGCTGAGGATCGAACCCAGGACCTCACACTTGCTAGGCAAGTGCTGTACCACTGAGCCACAGCCCCAGCCCCTCCTTACCATCTTATGAAAGAATTCTGAATAAAAATGTTCTACTGGATCAAGATCACTTTTATGCAAATAAACAATTACACAAGTCTAAGTGGCTGATATGGTTCTACAGCATTTGTGAGAAAGACATGGGTAATAGTTGACCTTAGGCTTAATCTTTTTGTCAGTGAATGATATGGCATTTTCTTCCCTTGTTCAAGATCTTATATCTTACTGAGAATTGGCCTGTCTACAATTTGGAAGGAGTTGATTTTGCTGTCCTTAGCACTGATTAAGTCACCTCTGCAATACTAATTGTAGAACCAAATTTTAAAGAGTAATACAGGGACATATTTAAAGAATGTCCAGTTAGTGGAGAAACTCCCAAATGAGTCATAGGGGAAACCATAAGAGAATAAGAAGGAAAGTCTTATAGGGATAAGAAAAGAAGTAATGTAGAAAAGAACTCTTTTTAAATGTATTTCTAATTTTATTTTTAACTGATACATAAAAATATATTTATTTGTGGGCTACCATGTGATGTTTTGATAATGTATGCATTTTATAATGTTCAAATCAGAGTAAATGAATATATATCCTCAAACAATTATCATTTATTTATGGTAAAAACATTCCAAATCCTTTCTTCTAGCTTTAAAGAAAATAAAGGGCTTCATTATTATCTATAGACATCCTACTGTACAGTAGAACACTAGAACTTCTTTCTCCTATCTAACTGTAACTTAGTACCCATAATTAGCTTTCCCTATCCCTCCCTCCCTGCTGCTCTCCCTATCCTCTGGTAATTATCACTCTACCCTCAACTGACATCAATTTGTCAGAAACATCTGCACTATTCACAATAACCAAGAAATGGAAATAACCTAAGTGTCCATACGCTGATAAGTGGCTAAAGATATGTCTTACATATACCTAAAGGGGGTTAACTCTAATCTGTGGAGGGTACCCACATAAAAGTAGTCTTCAGGTCAATAAAAGGGGAACATTTCTTGAGTTCTCAGATTGAGCTGCCTTTGGGAGATAATGGGTTCTCTGTTGCTAGATAATGGCTACTCTGATGCTCAAGCATCAGTTGACCAACCAGTTGGTAGAAGTACTGTATAGAGAGCATTCAAGAATCACATGGGATAACCTATAGAGTACCATGTCAAATCAAGGAGTAGATTGATTGTTCCATGACTTATTATATAAGTTTGTTTTATATTTAAGTACAGCTTAATATAATGAGACTAAGTTAAACAATAGCAGTCCTAACTGGCAGCATCTTTGTGACATTTGCTGTTCTAGGTTTTGCTTTTTGGTGAAAGAGATGCTAACCAATGCATCAGGCAGTACAGTGGAGCTGGAAGGAGAGGCTGATGGAGACACCTTAGAGGTGAGTCACAGAAGGCCTAGAACTTGGGAAAAGTTCTTTACTATGTCTTTGATGCTTAAAAAAAAAGTCACAATTTTTAATGTAAAAATCCTTTATTGAGTGTATTTAAAAATACTTCTGAACCAGCCAGCCATCATTATCCATGATTCTAAGAGATTGTTTAATGTGTCTCTGTAGAAAAATCTCATTACATTGGGATCCTCTCAGTCAGAATGCTTAAGAAAATTTGGTTATGAAATAAACCAAAATTTCCTTTTATGCACAATCTATAAAAAGGTTTTTTTCTAAGTAAGTTAATAATATTTATGAGATTCCAGGAGAAAAAGTTAGGCCACTGGAAGCAGACTTTTGCATTTATGTCTAAAATTACTTGCATACAGTATGTTAAATATAACAATTTTTCATTTCATTTTTAAGAAAATAAAATCATCATAAGCTCTTTCAGACAGCATAGTTGTAGTCCACAATTACTACACCACTTTACATATGTTTAAATCTTACACAGTTATTCAGATTTGCCATTAATTCTGGTTCTCCCAGTAATTACAATTTAATGAGATTTTCTTATACTTTTAAGTTAGACTGAAATGAATTCCTTGAGATTTCCTTCAGAAAATATCAAAGGAATTAGTTTTAATAATTGAATCAGGTACTAGAGTTATTAGCTTAGAATGTAAGTTTGTAATAGAAATGAACTGAGTGATATGCTTTGAAGGCAACAGATGTGGGGGGTAGAGAAAGGTGTGAGTTATAAATCTTTTATGGAGCAGGCTGATTTCTAGTTATATCAGACAATGATATAGACACTTTAATAATGTTAGTCCACGTGAGCATCCCTAGAGGTAGACGAGAAGGGACACACACACACACACACACACACACACACACACTCACTCTCGCACTCACTCACACTCTAATCTGTATATAAGCTGTACTTCTGTAAGTAGACATAGTGGAGCATGCAAAACAACAGAAATGGCCATTGCTTCCTATGTGCTTTAAATCCTGCTCAGCCTGTAGTCACCTTTGTTTTAATAATTGAGAAGGATCAACTCAAATGCAGCTGTGTGCAACAGCTTTTGATGATAAGATTGCGAGAACAAAATACCAATGCTAATTGGAAATTGAGGTTTTGCAGTATGTCCTAGATCCGTATGACTGAAAGGGGCAGGGACCCCAGCATATGCACTCTGTATTAAGACAGTTTTAACTTTATTGACTGTCAGTTCTTTCCTGGGCTATTGAAAGAGATTTGTTTTCTGACTTGCAGATAGGGAACCCATTTGGGGTACTTAACATGATTAGAAGCAGGTTTTCATTGTGGCATTAAAATCGTTGGAAAACTCCAAAAAGTGAGCCACGTAAGTTATATGTGAGCCATATTTTTAATTTTCTTAGATTCTGATTCCTAAGGTCATGCTATAAATAACTGAATATCTGAGAGTTGTTATTGAACAAAAAGTATATAACTGCTATACTTGCTTAGCAATCAAATAATGTTTATAATTTTTTTAAAAACTGATGGACAAGTTTTGGGCTTCTCCACTACAAATTGTGTGTCCTGTTGTTTTCCTTCTGTAGTATGAGTATGACTATGATGCAAATGGGGAGAGAGTTGTTTTGGGGAAAGGAACCTACGGGATTGTGTATGCTGGCCGAGACCTGAGCAATCAAGTGCGAATAGCCATCAAAGAAATCCCAGAGAAAGACAGCAGGCAAGTTGGCGCTGACCTTCCACAATCTGTACTTGCCATCTCAACACCCCAAATCCCAGGCCCACCGTGCATAGTACAGAAGATTTAAGAACAAAAGCATTATGTGGTCACAAAACTTGTAATTTTCTTGTAATAAAAATAATTTGCTTTTGTTCTCTGTGTAATCTAAATAGATTGAGAAATGGACTAATTTCATTTAGACATTTGTGGATTATAGAGAGTCATGTCTTAAAAGAAAGTTGCATTTGCATGCATCAACTCCATCTAAAGTTTTGGCATTTTGAGGGGTGGGTACTGGGGATTGGACCCAGGCCTTCATGAATGTTACGCAAATGCTCTTAATACTCAGATACACCCCCAATCCCTTTTATAAAATTTTATTTTGAAACAGGGTCTCACTAAGTTAGTGAGGCTGGCCTGAATTTGCCACCCTCTTACCTCACCTCCTGAGTTGCTGGGAATACAGGCATGCACCACCATGCCCAGCTCTAAGCTTAACATTTTTATATAATCATTTGCAGATAAAAAGAATGTGACAAAAGTGTGACTGAGGTCTTTTTTTTTTTTTTTTCCTCTTTTCGATGCTAGGAATGAAACCCAGGAACTCGAGCATGCTAGGCAAATGCTTGACCACTGAATAACAACCTCAGCCCTGACAAGAGTGATTTTAAACTTATGTTGTCATAATTGAAATCAGCTATGATTTGTTTGGATATGACATTACAGAAAACTAAATGTAGTTGAAAGATCAGATTTTTGTGATATAGACTTTTTTTTTAAACATTCTCCCCTTTAATCTGACCCATGAATTTCAGGCTATTTTTCTACTGTCGATACTGCTAATTTATTTTCTCGACATTTCTTAGTCTTATTAAATGTTCACTTCTTTTTGAATTTACCTAATCCTAATCTTAAACAAAAGCATAGCAGTGTTTACTGTCAAATGTTTCTGTAGAGAAGCTACATATTCAACCATGGCCACAGCATAGGAGATAATTATCCCATGTCAGCCCACAGTTGTAGCATTGCCCCCAGCACTGGGTCTTGATGGATATGTGCCAAAATTTCTCTATCTGGGTGATCACTATTGATTGGGGATGGGTTAAACATGATTTTCTACCCACTGTAAGACCCTTCATTCATTTATCCATTCAGTTGTTGGTTTTCAGTGGGACAGCATGTGATAATTATGTGAATTATAAGGTCTGAAATGAATTAGTTCAAATTCTTCGTTTTATACCAGTCTGAAAACCCAGGTTGAAGAAGACTAAATGAATTCCCCAAGACTATGTACAGAAAAGGCTAGGATCCAGGTCCCCTGAGTTCCTCATCCAGTATTGTGTCCCTTATTCTCATGATGAATAAGTCGTTGCATTCTTATAGATTTGGGGAATTCCTGGTATGGACTGCCTCCTTCTGTGGTAGCACTAGCAGTTCTAGGTTTTGTTTTGTTTGGTATTTTTTTTTTTTTTTGTACCAGGGATTGAACTCAGGGGCACTCAACCACTGAACCACATCCCCAGCCTTATTTTGTATTTTATTTAGAGACAGGGTCTCACTAAGTTGCTTAGCGCCTCCATTTTTGCTGAGGCTGTCTTTGAACTCTCGATCCTCCTGCCTCCACCTCCCAAGCCTCTGGGATTACAGGCATACACCCGTGCCCAGCTTGTTCTAGTTTTTTGTGTGTATAACAGTTCCTGGATTTTTAGAGCTAGAAGGAGCCTTAGAGATCATTTTGTCTAACTCCCTGAATTTATGGCTGAACTTATGATGATCAGATACCTTCTGTGTGCCAGCTTCTGGGCTTGTGCTGGAGACTGAAAGGTAACTATGATACTATCCTGATACCAGGGTGCTACCAGTTTAGTGGGGATTGAGTCAAAGTGACAAGTGCCATAATAGAAGGGTACACAGAGTGTATTCAGGACATAGATGAGAAGTGAATTTTCCTGGGTTAGTTGTGGCAATTTTGAGAAAATAAATCATCTTTAAGCTGGTCTTTGAGGGATGAGTAGGAGTTTGGCAGAAAAGAAGGCCTACCTGAGGAAGAAACAAAGATGTTAATACACAAAATCTTTTCAGAGAATAACAAATTTCTGATATGGCTTGAATGCAGGATGTGGGGCAGTGGAGAACTTTTGAGACAAAAACTTTAAAATGGTGTCATCTGGCATGATTTTGAAGGTCCTTGTGTGCCATGTGAAAGAATATAGTCTCTGGAATTTATGGAGGGGAGTGATATGGTAAAGTGTGCATTTTAAGCAAATCCCAAGAATGAGGGATGAGCTAAAAAGGCCAGACCCTAGGGCTGGGTCGATCATTAGGTGGCTACTGTTGTGGTCTGGGATGAGTGTGTAGAATAAGACTAGAAGGCAGCTGAGGACAAAATCTTTCAGAGCACCACCCTGCACAGCAGACAGAGAAAGGGATTTCTGAGAGTTCAGGCCCTACCAATAGTGATAGTAACAGTAGAAATCACTGAGTGCTTACCACACACCAGATACTCTACTAGGTGCCTGAGAAACTTATCACACTTAGTCCCCAGCAGCTCTACATGGCTGGTATTATTATAGGTTAAATATTCCTTGTCTGGAAAACTTAGGGCCAGAAGTGTTTCAGATTTGGGATTTTTGTCAGAGTTTGAAATATTTGCATATACACCATGAGGCCTGTTGGGGATGTGACCTAAGTCTAAACACAAAATTCATTCACATTTTGTACACACCTTATATCATATAGCCTAAAGGTAATTTGATACATTACTATAGTGGTCCTGTGTTTTGATTGTGACCCATCACACAAGGTCATGTTTGGAATTTCCTGCTTGTGGTATTATGTTGGCACTTAAAAAGTTTCAGATTTTGAAGCATTTTGGATTTTTGGACTAAGGATGCTTAGCCTGTATCCTATATTTTACAGATGAGAAGCTGAGTAGTCTTATAGGAAGGGAAGAGAAAGTTTCCATAAGGAAGGGATGGCCAGCAGTAGGGTGGATGCTGGTGAGGTGCCACAAGGGTCTAGAGCCCCCAGGATTTGGCAGGTGATGCTGGCTTTTTAAATTTTTCATGATAGGTACTCTCAGCCTCTGCATGAGGAGATAGCCCTGCATAAATACCTCAAGCACCGCAATATTGTCCAGTACCTGGGCTCGGTTTCAGAGGATGGCTACATCAAGATATTTATGGAGCAGGTGCCCGGAGGTGAGTAGTTGCTGTATTCTGGCAAATTCTGAAAATCACTCTTGAAAATACAATATGGACATCATTAATTGTCCTGCCATTTTAAAAAATGACAGACATTGTAGAGGTTGGAAAACATTGGTTTCTCAGAAGAGTTGGATACAGACTTTCCAAATGTCATATAAACAGACTATTTCTGGTTTGTTTATTCAACTCACAAATACTCATTGAATATCTACTGAGTGCCAGCATTGGAGACAAAGAGATGAAGAGAGCAGTCTCCTGCCTCTAGGCCTTAATAGTCTAGGGAGTTTAAAGGTGGTTTGGAGAAAAGAGAACACAGGTTTTAAAAGTGACATTACAAAATAACATCAATAACAAAATCAAACATCAGTGCTTTGTCCACAAAGTCCCCAAATGTAGGCAATAGAATATAGGAGAAAGAGTTCCTTGGATCTGGATTCAACTATCTAGTTTAAATCGGTCCAACAATCTATAAGCTGTGTGGCCTTGGGCAAATTATTTTACTACTTTGTGCCCTCAGTTATTTGGTAAAAATAAATAAATTGTAAAATTAGAATATAATATTACTGTAATAATTGTAGTAATAATTATTGGAATAATAATAACTCTCTTAGTGGGTTGTTGGGTGGGTTAAATGAGATGATGCATATATAGCTCTAGAACAGAGCCTGGCAGCAAACTCACTGAAATAATTATAAAATTTATGAAAGTTTTAAATATTAATTATTATCTGAATACAAATGTAAAAACTGGTTAGAAACTTGTATTTGTTCCTTTATTCATTCTAACAGAAATCAAGAGTCTATTATTATTAAGAGTCTAATTTTATACATTAAGATCTAGGCAATGGGCTCAATTTTGAGGGTTATGTTAAGGATATAGTACAGTGTCTTTTTCCTCAGGTAACTCATAGCCTAATAGAAAAACGTGTCCATTGCTGTTCACATTTGTTACTGTTCCAGGTTTTGCGATGAAGGGTAACAACAGAATTAGAGATGGAAGCCAGACACAGTGGCACGTGTCTGTAATCCCAGCTACTCAGGAGACTGAGACAAGTGGATCACAAGTTCAAAGCCAGCCTTGGCAACACAGGGAAATTCAGTCTTGAAAAAAAAAATTTATTCCCTTTTATAGATGGGGGACCGAAGTATAGTAAGGTTGCATAGCCCTGTATGAGTGGCACAGTTGAGACCGGCTGATACCCAGGAGCCTGTTCTTACCAGCAGGCAAGCCACCTTCTCTGGGACATGTGGTCAGAGAGTCTGGGGGTGGGGGTTGGTTTCTTCTGGCCTAAGTGTTGAGTGTTCAATACAATAATGGGGAAGGCTTGTTAATCAGGATGGTCCCACCCCTCTACCATTGGTGTGGGTGACCTACCATTGGGGCCTTTTCACAATGAGGACAAAGAGGCCTAGCCTTCTCTAATCCTAGTCCTTGTCACCTCCAAAGACCACTCATTCTAGACCTGCCCACTTTTGATTACAGCAAGAGGTGTAAATCTGGCTTTGACTCAAACAGAACGATTGTCCAGCAAACAAATGTCATGGGATCCGAGTCATTTATGACATTGGGTCATGCCTCTTTAGTTCAAGGAGCCATATTTCACTCTTCTCCTGACTTCATATAGCTGAACAGAGCTAACCCCAAAGTTGGCCCAATTGAATTTCAAGGATCACAGGGATTCTTCTTTGTCCTCTACTTCAGTCTGGCCAATAGGCTGATTTGCTTTCAGTGTGTTCTCTGGCTGTGACTGTAGAGAGGCAAGACTCATTGCATTTAGCAATATACAATGGTATAGGTATGAAGTGCTTATGTCAGGTTAGAGATGTCACTTCACTTCATTTCCCTAAACTGCTTACAACTGAATCTTTCATCCTTATGAATGTTTTGCTGAATCCATTTCTAGGAAGCCTCTCTGCTCTTTTGCGATCCAAATGGGGGCCAATGAAGGAGCCCACTATCAAGTTTTATACCAAACAGATCCTGGAAGGCCTTAAGTATCTCCATGAAAACCAGATAGTACACAGAGACATAAAGGTAACAGGCTTTTCTAAACCAACAAAGTGTCATTTTGCTCATATCTAGTCATGATAATTGTCAGTGCAGCATGTGCTGAGTGACTTGCTCATGGGAGGGTTGGGAGGGCTTTTTTTTTTTTTTTTTTTTTTGAGACCATTTTTCAAGGTCTTGAACCATTAAATGTCAGTTTGTTTAAATCTCTCTTTAAGCATTTTGTACTATTCTTCTCCTGAAGGGTGATAATGTTCTGGTAAACACCTACAGTGGAGTGGTGAAAATCTCTGATTTTGGAACCTCTAAACGTCTCGCAGGAGTGAACCCATGCACAGAAACCTTTACTGGTAAGCACAACAGAGTAGGGCTATGGTGTCCATTTTAGTGTTAAACTTTCTTCACAAGCTATAGTCATTGGAAGGCTACTTACTGGGTACCTTCTCAGCGCAGATGCATGATGTATTGTCCCCAACTTCAAATTATTTTGGCTTTGTAATAGTGATGCATTTAGCCATCTATTTGTGGTAACAAGATAGCCCCACTTAACTTTTTTCCTCTCAGACGTTGGGTAGGGGAATTCTGAGTAACAATATCCCTTAGTCAACTTATTAGGACCTTTCTTTTCTTGGTCTATCATAAAAAAAATAGCCTGTTACCTTATCGTTGAATTCTGACACCTTGCGTTTCAATATAATTATATTTCAAAGGGAGGCTAATTTTTCTAGGGGAATATGGCATTTTATGTGGGTTTGAGGAACTGAGTTTTCTTTCCCATGTGTCAGTGATGGAACAATTTGATTGTTTGGAGGGATTGGATTCAAAGGGTGATATAAAATCACCAGTTAGTTGTACATTACCAGACCAATAGGTAGAATGCCACTCACAAGTGACCTGTGTCTTTTTGAAATTCCTGCTTAAAAACATTAGCCCAAACCTTGATCCTTGGAAAGAAGTACTGATTTTGAATAAGTAAATATTTATGGTCCCCTAAGGAGGAACATAAAGATCACAAAGGTCTTGCTTTTGATAGTGTATGAAACAGCTCTCATATCTCATAGCTGTGAAATAAGCTATAAAAGGGTCATGGCTGGGGGTGGGGCTGTAGCTCAGTGGCAGAATGCTTGCCTAGCATGGGTGACGCACTGGGTTCGAGCCTTAGCATCACATAAAAATAAACAAAATAAAGGCATGCTGTCCAGTCATGGCTGTTCTCTATCTCTGTAGTCACCAAAGCTGTAGAATGGACAGCTTGAGCCTTATTTTGAATAAAGTCTCAGCTTTGAAGGACTTTTCTTCAACAAGAGACTTGTTGTATGTTAGTTGCTGGACACCCACAGTGGAGACACATTCTCCATCAAAAGGGAATTTTAATGCCTCAAAAATGACTTTTAAGTTGTAACACAAGGGGAAGTGTGTGAGTTTCAAAATGGGAAAATATGGCACCAGGGCTTCATCAGAATCTCCCATAGAAAGTGCATGTTGAATCTTCATTTTTTGTTTCTGGTACAAATATACATATGCTACATATATCATATGTGTATGAATATGTATGTAGGACTGGCCCTTTTTTCTCTTGTAGCACTTTACTACCCTAATTGAAAATGACTTATATCCTCCTCTTTGGAAGCCACCAATTAGCTTAGCAATACATAGCAAGAGGGGCTCTGATATGACAAGGAGTAATTTCAAAAACATAAAACCCCCCAACAATTTATCTCATAATTAGCATCCCTAAGGAGAAAAAAAATCTCAAAGAAAACACATGTATAATTCATTATCACATATCACATTTCCCAAGTAATTGGTTTGAGGAGGCATGAATTTTGCATTGCAAAATAATGCATGGGTGTTTGGGGGATAATAAAGAAGGGGTCTCATTTTGGTTAGGAAATTCCCTTGCATGTAATTACTCTTTGCAAAACAGAGCAGTTCTGTAAAGAAATCTGAGTTAGTTGGTACAGAACTCTGGGTTGGATGGATCTGATGGAGCTTTTTCCTGATAGTATTCAGAGGTCTCCTGAGTCTTGGCAGGAGAACCAAGGGCTTCAGGCAACTTCTTGGCCTGGATCCCTCCCCTCCTGTGTTCCTCTCAAGGGCTCTCATCACAGGTGTAAATGGACTTAGAACAGGCTCCCCCCTATACTGGGGATCCAACCCAGGTCCTCAGGCATGCTAGGCAAGTGCTCTATCACTGAGCTACAATGCAGCCCTCTTGTTCTTGTTCTGGTAGTTTTAACAGCTTTATTGAGGTACAACTTGCATATCATATAAGCACCCATTTAAAATGCACAATTCAGTGGTTTCTGGTAAACTTACTACATCATGTAGCCATTATCACAATATATTTTTTGTTTGTTTATTTTTAGTGCTGGGGTTTGAACCCAGGGACACTCTACCACTGACCTATACCCCTAGCCCTTTTTATTTTTTTATTTTGAGACAGGGTCTTGCTAAGTTTCTGAGGCTGGCCTCAAACTTGTAATCCTCCTGCCTCAGCCTCCTGAGTCACTCGGATTATGGGTGTACACCACTGTGCCTGGCTACAATGCAGGTTTTGAACATTTCTACCACCCCCAGAAGATCCTTGTGCCCCTTTGCATTAATCCCGGTTCCCACTGCAGCTCCAGGCCATCACTGATCAACTCTGTTTGCTGATTTGCACGTTCTGGGTTATTTCATACATGTGGAATGATAAAATATGTGATTTGCAGCATCTAGCTGCTTTTACTCAGTGTGATGTTTTCAAGGTTCATGCATGCTCTAGCATGTATCAGCCCTTCATTCCTCTCAAGCTGAATAGTATTCCATGGTGTGAATGAACTACATTTGCCAGTTAATGATCATTTGGGTGGTTTCTACTTTTGACTGTCACAAATAGTGCTGCTATGATCATTCACATGCAAGCTTTTGTGTGAATATATGTTTTCATTCCTCTTGAGTAGATACCTAGGGACAGAACTCAGAACAGGAACTCTAGTCTATGGCTATAAATGTCCTTGGTTCAAGGATGAGCAGGTTCAAGTCCTGGCTCAACCACTTGCTAGCTGGAAGACCTTGGACATGTTACCCACCCTGTGTGTGCCTTAGGTTTTTCATAAGTAAAATGGAAATGCTCACATTACTTACCTTATAGGGTTTTTAAAGAATTAAATGGGTTAATATTGATAAAGTACTTTGATCGCTATCTGGCTTACAGCAAGTAAACTTGGAAGTATTTGTTAATTTAAAAATAAAAACCTATTTGCATATAGAAGTTGCAGGCTATTAGAGCTGGAAAGAGCCTTTGAGAGAATTGAGTTCCTAGATGTGTCTAGTGTGTTGAACCTGTGTGACTCAAAAGTTGTCATGATAAAAGCCATTGTATTTTTTTCGACACTTCCCCGTAATATCCTGCCCAGAGCAGTGGGCCTTTCCCATGACTTTTCCAGCCACCCTCAGAAGACAGAGTCCAAATGACACTTTAAAGAGCAAACAGGTTGAATTGAGTGATGAAAAGAATGTGGGCTCATATACTCATCAATGGTCTGGTCCTCATTCCCAGGGCCAACTCCTCTCCCCTCTCCCTCCCAGCTACAGCAGTAGGCAGTGATCTCTGCTCAGGTGACTCAATGTTGCTTCTCCTCTATCACCTCTTTTTTCACTTAATAGCTACAGAAAGGCAAGGAAAGGGGCTTGACATATTGTCACTTGACTAGTACTGCTATAAGCTGAGTTTGTGTGCTATGGACCTGGGTGATGGTTCCTGTAAATTGCTCTTGATGGATCCCCTTGAATGTGACCCTCCACATCATGGGCAGGGGCCTGCTTTTGGCTGACTAACCCCTGCCCCTCCCCAACTCTTGCCCCTCACATTCTACCCACCCCTTTTCAACTTTCCATGGAGGAATTCAGGTCTTGGAAGACTGCCTTTAAGCTAGATTCCTCTGGGGGAAACAAACAAACAAACGAACAAAACCCCTAAACCAGCATTTCTACAATGGGCCTCACTTTTTAAGAGTTAAGGGGTTTTGCTCTTCAAGCCATTGTTGAGAGGTAATGACAATATCCTCAGACTTTACAATCCTCTGTCTCTGCTGCTATAAGTGACTTTTGATCCCTTGAGAAACAGTCCTCTGTGCACCTTACCTCTAGGGGATGTGCATGTGTTGAGCTCTGAGTAGTTTGAAGACCTTGGGTTGGGAAGAAGTGGTCCCCTCCAGGGACCATCCCTTGGGTTGGGCAACTAGGGAAGCCCCCACCACCATGGGAGGTTGCACCTTCTTTAATATTAAAGTTTGAAACATCAGGCTCTAACAGTATCTGAAAGACTGTGCTAGTCAGCTCTTTGTTGCTATGACAAAATACCTGAGAAAAACAACTTAAAAGGAGAAAGACTTTATTTTGACTCATGGTTTCAGAGGTCTCAGTCCATGGTCATCTGGCTCTATTATTTCTGGGCCCACTGTTAGGCAGAATGTCATGCCAGAGAGCAAAGATGTTCCCCTTATGGTGTCTGGGAAGTAGAGAGTGGGAGGAAGGTGTTAAGGACAAGATATTGTCCCCAAAGGCACATCCCCAAGGATATACTTCCTCCAATTAGGTCCCACATCCTACAGTTTCCACCAGCTCCTACTCAGCTATGAATCCATTAGTGCATTAATCCATTGATGCATTGATGAAATGAGAGCTCTCTCTCCAAAGAGGCTGCCTTCAACACCCTGCTATTGTATCTCCCCTCTCTAAACACTCTGAACCCCTTGGTCTGGATGGGATGCCTCTGAGCAATGGGCCCAAGACTTGTGTACCCAGAGATCTGAGGTGCCCTTAGAAAATGTGTACCTTGTGGCCCCAATCTCTCCCCTTGTCCTGGTATCTGTATCATGTCTTGGTGCCTTTGTCAAAAAGCATCACCTTGGGCTGCAGTTGTAGCTCAGAGGTAGAGTGCTTGCTTAGCATGTATGAGCCACTGGGTTAGATCCTCAGCAACACATAAAAATAAATAAAAGTATAAAAAACACAATAACATTTAAAAAAAAAAAGTATCTCCTTATGCCATGTATTTTCCCTGCTGATAATTTGAAAATCCTGTTTGGGCAATTGTCCAGGAGCCGCTAACAAATTTTATGTTCCAAGGGGGCTGGGTTAGTGTTTGTGGGTCTTCTGGACACCTTTTTCTGCATTCAGCACCACCACCCTGGTGCTGAGCCAGTGACAGTGAGGTGGGGTACCCGTTGGAGGAAATGGAGTTTAGGAAGGATATGAGGCCCCTATAGATGTAAGGCAGGCCAGTTTCCCAGGATTTGTGCATGATTCAGATGCCCCACAATGCCATCTTTGCTTGGGGGTGCAAATAGGAGGGTAGGATTAGAACTTTGAGGGGAGTGTCACTGGGCTGGAGCAAGTCCCTTGGAAGGGCAAGATGAAGATGGTTCTGGGAGTATAGAGTGACAAGAAGGTAGGGACTGGAGTCACCTGAGGGTCCAGAGTAAGCTTCCTTTCAGGAACAAGGAAGAACAAGGAAAGTCCCCTTTCCATCCTTCTGGAATCTCTTTAGCACTGCCTAATTGCAAAGCCTAACAGGGAACCTCAGGCAAAGCAGAAATGTTTTTTTTGGTTTGGTTTTGGTTTTGGTTTTTTTTTTTTTTTTTTCGAGTTCCAGACCCAGCAGCACAGAGCAGAGCTGGGAGATGATAGCTTAAGAAACAACACAGTGTCAAATCATTTTTTAATTAATGAATTTTGGATTCATTAGAAGGCACATTCCCTGCCAACACCTCTCCCTTTGTTATTCACAGCAGCAACCGCCTGCAGGGGATATTGTATCACCGGAAGTTCCTTTCCTGTGGCTCTGGGGTTTCCTAATAGTGCATCAAGAGTGATGCACCTCCATCTTGCTCAACTCTGCAACTGACTGAACACTTCCCCACCAGTTTATTAGTTCTGGAGACCAAAGCCATCATTTGTGTGGCACTGATGAGTTGTGCTCACTAATATAGTCTAATTTTATATTTAACTTTAGATCAATTGAAATGAAATCAAATCAAGTTAAAACAATTTAAAATTAATTTCTTCAGCCTCACTAGCCACGTATCCACAGCCAATATGTGGCTAATGGCTACCATATTGGATGGCATAGAATAGAGCATCCCCATCATTAAAGAAAATTATTTTGGTCACAGCTGTTCTAGAGTCTTTAAAATGTTCAGGGGAAGGAAAAATGCTGGTAAGACATTGGATCTTTAAGAGAAGGACATAGCAGTAGCTTATTCAAACTTTTTAAAAAATTTTTTTAATTAGTTGCTCAAAACATTACAATGATCTTGACATATCATACATTTGATTCAAACTTTTTATTTTTTTTAACTGAAAATGAGCCCTTTTTTATTGAGTAAAACTCAGGAAACCTGTTTTGGTTGAATGATCTTGAGATGGGACCTTTCATTTCTCTGGACATTAGTGTTCCTGTAACACCTTGGCTAAGGTCATCTCTGAATTTGATGTTTTCTTCTAAACCTCTTTGCCAGCCTATAACATCTGCTAATGTCCCAGCCACATTTTCCCTTTCCTCTTGCTTAATTTCAAGGAAAACCAAAGATTTTACTCCCAGAGCCCTTGATTGAACTCCCTACTCCCCATCTTTCTATTCAGTAATCCCTTCGTCTTCCTGCTACCATATCCAATCAGTGTCTTCCCTGGGGTAACCTCTGGTAGCTCATGAACCACAGGAGAAAGTCCAAAGCCAGTCTTTTTTTAATATTTATTTTTTAGTTATAGGTGGACACAATATTTTATTTTTATGTGGTGCTGAGGATCGAACCCAATACCTCATGCATGCTAGGCGAGCACTCTACCTCTGAGCCACAACCCCAGCCCCCAAAGCCAGTCTTCAGAACATACAACTTGCCATTTAGACTGTGCCCTTGCTGCTCTCCTTAATCCTTTCTACACCCTGCCCCCAGTGAAATATCACTTGTTGTTCCCTGGACTCTATACTTTATACCCATGTTCTTGCTCAAGTTCTTCCCTATACCTGAACACCCTCCTATCCCTTTGACCACCTCTTCAACCACAGTAGCAGGAACCTACTTCATTGGCAGTGCCAGCTGATGCCCCTTTGGATCACATTCTTGGCAAGGTGACACTTTACCCAGGCTGCTCCTTGACAATGTCTGAACCTGGCTAAGGTTCTAGAACTAATATGAGACTCTGCCAATGGGCAAATTATGGCCAAGTTCTCCTTGGTGACTTGGCTGAAGCCCTCAGTGCTGAGACTCTTCTACCTAATTCTTCCTCCCTCCATTTCCCCCAGGGCTCAGGCCTGCTTTGTAGTATGGCATTCTCCCTGCCAATCCTGCCCTCCCCTTTATCCTTCATAGACCTTCTCCCCAGTAAATCTCTTATATGTCTAATCTTATTTTGGCATTTGCCTCTCAGAGACCAAAAGAAATTGACAGTCATAGATTTCCCTGATTCAGACCAGACAGAATCAAGCACTTTTTCATCCACATTCTTCCAGCCCTCTGTGTACACCTCTGTTACAGCACTGCTGCCACCACCATTATATATGTCTCCTCCCTTGGGAAGTTTTTTGTGATCAGGCTATTTCTCCCATTCCAGTTTCCCTGTATTTGGCATGTGCTAAAACATGCTAATTGAATTGGGCCCCTTTATCCTTTGAGGGACTAGGCAATCCTGTCTCAATATGCCTAGTATTGAAAGAAGCTATGTTGCATGTTTCGGGTCAAAAAGTGATGCAGCCATATTATTTATGCAAGGAACAAGGCTCCTTCCACTATTAATGAGACAATTAAGCCCCCAGACTTGTTTTTACTAATGGTCCAGTTCATTTATAAGCAATATAGTGCTCTGATCTTTGCATTTATTTTCTATGTAGGTACTCTGCAGTATATGGCACCTGAGATTATTGATCAAGGACCTCGTGGGTATGGTGCCCCAGCTGATATCTGGTCTCTGGGCTGCACCATCATTGAGATGGCCACCAGCAAGCCTCCATTCCATGAGCTTGGTGAACCACAGGCAGCAATGTTCAAAGTAAGACACATTTGGTCATTTGGGTGGTTTAGATGTTAGGGAAACAATTTAAAACAAGATTTCTTCTCAATCTTGAAAACTTACATACACAAAGGAAAGAAGGAAAACAGTTTTATTATTTAATAAGTATTAAACTAGAATGCAAGGCACATCACAGATAATCTGCTAAGATTTCAAAGACTGAAGGAAATCTCACCCCTTTATATTGCTAAGTAGATAAAATTCGTTATAACCACATTCTCAAGATAAATAACTAGACCTCAAGTGAGAGGACTTGACAACACATGGCTCCTCTTAGAGTCACCTGGTAATTGAGGTGACCTTTTATGTTAGGAAATTGGCTTTTTGCAGAGAGAAAAAAAATAAACCTGTTTTATCTTAAGACAGGAGGTAGTTTTGGAGTGAGGCACCACCAAAGTTGGGCCCCTTCCCTCCTACAGAAACTGGGAGATAGAGGCACTGTCTTCCTCAATGATTTCATTTCAAAGCAATGGCTCCCAAGTCTTGGGAAAGATGTTTCTGGTAAGAGGCTTATCTAGCTGTTAAAAAGATTTACATGCACCAGGTGCAGTGGCACGTGCCTGTAGTCCCAGCAGCTCGGGAGGCTGAGGCAGGAGGATCACAAGTTCAGAGCCAGCCTCAGCAACTTAGTGAAGCTCTGAGCAACTCAGTGAGACCCTGTCTCTAAATAAGATATTAAAAAGGGCTGGGGATGTGGCTCAGTGGTTAAGTGCCCCTGGGTTCAATCCCTAGAAACAATAGCAATAACAACAACAAAAACATCTCGAGAGAAAGAACAAAAATTTTTAAGTTCCCTAAAGTAAATGCTTTAAGAGAAGAGAAGAACCCTCTTCCTTTATGTTGGATGAGGATAATTAAGCCTCTGATTTTTCATTTGCATTTGCCCTTTCTCTGGGTAAGGCTCAAAGGCCATGATGGGGTATGCGTCTTTGAAGGAATGGATTTTGGAGAGGCAGAACTGTAGGTACAGATAATGTATCCTTTATCATTCTAACAACCTTCTATGGCTAATGGAAGGACACTGTGTGTGTAGAGGCTAACATATAGGTGGTGGTTTTACTGCTGGGCAAGTGGGACCTTGAAAGGGGATATACTTGCTTATGACCCCACAGGAAGCTGATGCCAGGACAACCCTGTGTGCCCAAGGTCAGGTCTGCAGTTTCTGACTCTTGAGTATCTTTGAAAACAGCCCCTTATCAACAGTGACCTTCCGTGGAAGATAGTTTTTAAAATTTTTTTCTAGTTGTGAGTGGACAGAATGTTTTTATTTTGTTTGTTTATTTTTATGTGGTGCTAGGGATCAAACCCAGTGCCTCACATATGCTAGGTAAGTGCTCTGACACTGAGCTACAGCCCCAGCCCCTATGGAAGATTTTTATTCATCCCAAAAGGGTGGGGGTCTCAAAAAGTCAAATGGCCATTGTTTGTAGATAATGAAGCTACAGGTACATTGACATAGCTTCATAGTACATGTCCAGAGGCCTTTTAGTAGCTTTTCTGCCACATTTGGCAACCTCCGTCATGGCCTGCATCATTGCTGGACCCTCTGGCTCAGCCCCTTGGGCAGAAAGACCTCAAAAATATGAGTGTGGGATTATGTCCTCTGAGGTGAGCACAGCACCTTCAACTGGCTCTGAGCACTCTGTGCTCTGGGTACCTTGGCTACTCTCCTCAGCTTGACTGGGCCCCAGCAGAAGATTCTCAGAGCTTCCTTCCATTATATCAGCTGTCCAGGTAGCTTCAAGGCCAACACCTCAAGTCCACCAAAGTTTTCTGGTCCCTGCAGTGCTAACAGAACCCTAAACACAAGGACTAGAAGATAGCAGCAACCTTCTTGAGCATATCAGTGACCATTCATGGCCCCCAGTGAGGTTAAAGATCTCACCTGCAGCTTCCATCACAGGCTTTAGAATAAATAGCAGCTGGTGCTTGGAAAAACATGGTGCCCACTGGAGAGCCATGTCTGTCTGTTTTCTGATCTGTTGACTTTCTGTAAAACTCCAGAAACCCAGCCGAAGGCTGTGACTTTCTCAATTCATCCACAGGGCATGAACAACTCCCAGGATCTTCTTCCTGCCTCCTGTTTTTGGTTAGCTCATTATCTGTACAAATTCTTTGCAAAATGTTGATTTGTTTGGGTCACACATGAAGTCACTTTATGTTGCCAACAAAAAAGTTAGTATTGAGCAAATAATGTCCACTGTGTTATTCATTTCTTGGATAGTAGAATCCTTCAACAAAAATTTTAAAAACTTCTGGGCAGTGTCTGAAACAAAGGGAATTATTCTTCCCCCAAGGGGAGTGTTATGGGTTTAATTGTGTCACCCAAAATGATATATGGAAGTCCTTATCCCCAGAAACTCAGAACATGACCTTATTTGGAAGTAGGGTTTTCACAGAAAAAAATCACATTAAAATGGTATCAGAGTGGACCCCAAAGCAGCAATGACAGGTGTCCTTATTAAAAAGGGATGGATATTTGGACTCCAAGACAGACATGCACAGAGAGAAGACTGTGTGAAAGCAGGGGGTTGGGGTGATGCATCTTCAGAGAGAGACTGGCCTCAGGGGGAGACCTTGGTCTCAGCCTCCCAGATTCCAGAACTAGAAGACAATACATTTCTGGTATTTAAGCCCCCCAGTTTGTGATACTTTGTTACAATAGCCCTGGTGGACCCTTAAGGGAGCTTTTAAGTCATAGCAGAGCACTCTAATAAGTGATGTATTTGCAAGGTGGTAGGGTGTACTGTCCACGAGTAGCAGTGTCCTGGGAATGGGACATGTCCACCTCATCAAGGGCCTTTGGGAGGTGAAGTCAGAAGGCTCTGCAGCACCCAGGTCTTTGCTCCCACATGCCGTGCAGGAAAGGAGGCCAAGCCAGCCCTCAGGGCTGCTGAGGAGCTGGCCATGAGCTTGGATCGGGAAGACAGAACAGCTTCCTCCACTGGATTGAGTGGGCTTGGAAAAGACACAGGGAAGGCTGTAAACTTTAAGATGACAATGCCTAAGAAAACTAGAGAGCCACTCCTGATGGGAACAATTATGCAAGAAGAGGTTATTCAAGGTTTGTCGGAAACATTTCCATGTCATAGTGAGATGTGACAGCTGAGAACTGACTCTGGTTTCCCTATGGGTCACCGAAACAGGGAACCTTTGGCAGGATAGCAGTTGACTATCCAAAAGTGGGCCCTGAAACAGCCATTCTAGCAAGAACTATGAAATGAAGGAGCAGTTCACCTCCCTCAACTGCTGTATCCCTAGGGAGGAGGCCCTGGCTTGGCTGTGGATGATTAGACAACTTGTCTGTGAGGTTAGCAGCTTCAGGTTTTGTATGCTTAGGCTTAGAGCTGGAGGATGGGGACCTGGGCTGTGGATGCATAGGGACTGAGAGGTGTGGGGGGTGTCTCTTGGGAACAGATAGCAGAAGCCTTTGAATAACCTCAGAATGTGGCTCTCCTGCCCCAGGCTTTGGCCCAGTTCCCTCTTAAGTCTCTTGTGCTATGTAACTAATAACTATGTGACTTGTTATTCCTCACAGTTCTGTGAGTGGACTGTTGGCTGGCTCTTCTGCAGGCCTTGCCTGGGCTCACACCTGTAGTTGTATCCAGGTGGCAGTTGGCTGGGGCAGGATCCTCTGAGAGGTTCTTTTGCATGTGACTGAGGGTGTGGCAGTGAGGGTTGGACCCTTCTGTCCACACAGTTGTCCATCCTGGACTCCTTCCCTGTGTGGTGGTCTCAGGGCTCCAAGAGGACCAGGGCAGGGACTACAAGACATCTTAAGGCCTAAGCTATGAAACCCTCACATAGAACTTTCACCTCAGTCTCTTGGTGAAAGCAAAGTCACAAAAGGCCAGCTGATTTTTGTTTGTTTTTATTTTTTCAGTGCTGGGGATCAAATCCAGGGCCTCACCCATGCTAGGCAAGCACTCTACCACTGAGCCATATCATAGCCTTCAAAAGGCCAGCTGAGACTCCAGGGATAGGGAAATAGAGACCACCTGTGGATAGGAGGAGCAGGAACATAGCATTGCAAAGGGGCATGGACAGAACTGAGCATCTTTGGGGCATTCCCAGCCCCTCATAGGATGGAGGTGTAGGAGCTTTCTGTTGAAAATTCATTCCCCTAAATCACCTGAGGCTTCACTGACACATTGATTACCTCTCCCCTAAATGCAGGTGGGAATGTTTAAGATCCACCCTGAGATTCCAGAAGCTCTTTCAACTGAAGCCAGAACCTTCATCTTATTCTGTTTTGAGCCTGACCCTCAAAAACGGGCCACTGCCACTGATCTACTCAGAGAGGGTTTCTTAAGGCAGGTGAACAAGGGCAAGAAGAACCGAATTGCTTTCAAGCCCTCAGGTGAGGCCTACCTGGACAACTGGGGAGATGCCCTGGGCCTGGGGTTTCTCTGCTGCTTACAAAGAGTGCTAGCTCTCCATAGCATTGAGCTTCCATGTTGTGCCTATTTATGTGAAGAGTGGCAGGGATGGTGCTGTAGGTTTGAAGGTTGTCAAAGTCCATCTAGCAAACATCCCTCCATCTCCTGACAGGAACAGGGAGCCTGGAGGGTGACTCTGAGGTCCACTCCCCCAACTTCCTTGAAGTCTTTCTTTTGGGAATGTGTGGAGGTGGGAGATGAGAGGTACCTGTCTGGGGTTTGTGTCTCCCCTAAGTGTAGAGCCTGATGTTTCATCTTTGGAGCCTGGCCTGCCATCCTGGCCTTGAATAAAGGGTGTGTTAGGGATGCTTGCCTGTGGTAGCTTTCCCACAGGCTACCAAAGCCCAGTGACACCTTCTAGAATAGTAGCCTGTAACTAGCAGTGACAAAGAGCAGCCTGTGAAAAGGAAGCGATTTGCCATCTTCCCTCTGGGGTGGATGGAATCAGAAGGCATGGCAGAATGACTCTAAACTTGCTCCATAGAATGTGACCCTAGACCACCTGTTTATGATGAGGCCCATCTCAGACCTACATTTCTCACCATGGTCTCAGGTGACTGTTCACACCACCTAAGTCAGAGCTGTGCAGGCTTAGCAAGCCCTCAGGTGGGCACCTGGGTCTGAGAGGCTGCCAGAAGCTCAACCTCCACCTGGTCCTTCTCTGAGCCTCTCCATTCCCTGTCTGGCTGTCCCCCACAGAAGGAACCCGCATTGTCACCAGTGCCCTGGCCCTGCCGTCACCAGGGGAACCTCTGGGCAGTAGCAGCAGCGAGCATGGCTCCATCTCCCCAGACTCTGATGCCCAGCCTGATACATTCTTTGAGAGGACACAGGTGCCCAAGCACCAGCTCAGTCACTTTCTCAGGTACTGCCCGTTTCCCTTGTCCCCCTGTTGTGGTCCTGTGAGGGGTGCTGGTGTTCCTCAGTGATGCAATACTTGCTGGGTCATAACCAGAGGGCTGGGAAGGGCTTTTGCTTTCCTGCAGGGCAGCAGAATGTCTGGGGACAAGCCAGGAGAGCGCTTTGCTTACTCTCCTGCCCTCTCTGTTCCACTGTCTTATTTCCTTCCTCCTCTGCACTTCCCTCTCCTGTCTCTTCTTCCCCTCATTTTTCCCTGTTTCCCCCTCCCACATACCCCCTTATTCTCTCCCCCTTCCCTCTCTCAACTTGCCTTCCCTTCTACTCCCCCTCTTTCCTCTCCCTTCCTCTGCTTTTCCCCCCGCTCAACCCCACTTCTTTTCCCCCTTCTTCCCCCAAACTTGGCTACTATGGGGGAAGCAAAGGGGAGGGGGGGACATGGCCTCCCTCCTCCTTCAGCCTTGTTCCCTGCAGCTTCCTCTTCTTGAGCCAGGGGACTGCAGTGTATTCCTCTTAGCCCCGCCCCCACAGCATATGGTGGTACACTTCCTGGTGATAGTGTTCTGGGACAAACACAGGATTGTCACATGTGTTTCGTCTACAGCGTTCCAGACGAGAGCTCAGCCTCAGAAGACCGGAACGCACCTTTGTCCCCAGACGACAGGGACCAGGGCCTCTTTCTGCTGCGCAAGGACAGTGAGCGCCGTGCCATCTTGTACAAAATCCTTTGGGAAGAGCAGAATCAGGTGGTTTCTAACTTGCAGGAGTGTGTGACCCAGGTACTAGGAATGGCATCTGCTAATCTAATCCCACCCCACCTGGGTCCAAGTCCCAGGACAGGTTTGAACAGGAACCACTCCTCTCTGTAGCCTGGAACATTTGCATAGTTAGAGTGAGCACCATAAGTATTTCCTAACATCCTTCCCTTCCCCAACAAAACAAAAGAATATACAAAGAAAAAACTCCGCTAAAACGTGAATTTGCAGATCACTGCAGTGCTTCTAGGCATTTGCGGGGTGGTGCTACCACCTGGTGGAGAAAGAGCCACATGACAGCAGAAACACCAGGAAGCTGAAGGGCTTCCAGCCTCTGGCCTCTTATCATCTTGGTTTTGAGGCCTAGGGTGGAGTTAACCCCCAGCTGTAGGACATGCTAAAGCTGCCTTCAGAATCTGGGAGAACAGCCACTTTATGGAGAATGGTTATGGATGAAAAGATTTGAGTTTTAACTAGGACACAGCAGTAGTATACTGATCCCCCTATCTTTATTTTGGATGGGGAAGGTCTTTTTAGGAAGAGGTCACTGCCACACTGTAAACTAGGCCTTTTGATGAGGGGTCAAACAGGAGGTAGAATCATTCAGTGGGACTTAATGGTGAGGATGTGTGCATGCCAGAGGGACCCCCCCCCCCGCCCCCAGGAAGGATATAGAGGGAATTCTAAGAACAAAGGCTCCTTCTTCCCCAAGGGATTCCACAATTCTGTTAGCAAATGGGCAGTCTAGTTTCCCACAATACATTTTGAATTTCCTATCCCCCTTCCCTTACTCATTCAATGAAAATGATTCATATGTTTGTGTGTATGTGTGGTCAGAGCTCAGAGGAGTTGCATCTCTCAGTTGGTCATATCAAGCAAATAATCGGGATCTTGAGAGACTTCATTCGCTCCCCAGAGCACAGGGTGATGGCATCCACAATATCAAAGTTGAAGGTGGACCTGGATTTTGACAGCTCATCCATCAATCAGATTCACCTGGTACTGTTTGGATTTCAGGATGCTGTAAGTGTTCCATCTGACCCTGGAGAACATGATAATCACCATCTTCTCCCATAGCCCCCATTTCTTCTCATCTATTTACACCTGAATGCTGAAATTTAGCAGCTCCTCCTAAACACTGAAGATGTAGGTAGGTATAGGAAATGTCACCTGAGTGAGTGGGCTGATTGCCTTTGGCCATAGAGAACATAATACGATTTAGGAGCATATGGCATCTGGCAGCAAGTAGGTGTAGACTTTAAGCTTATGTGTCTGCCCAAACAGATATGAGTTCTTTCAGGCCCGAGACTATCTGGTTCATCTTCGTGTCCCCAGCCCCCAATGCAATCTGTCATTTCCTAGGTGTTCAATAAATGCTTGTTGAATAAACAATGAAGAGGTCCTGTGATGTCAATCCCATTGCTGTACACATCTTCTAGACTCCAACGTGACTTAGGGCAGCCTAGAGGAAGACTGGGTTCAAAAGAAATGTGTCAGACAAAGCTCCATGGCAGCATTGCCAATACTCAATCTCAGAGTAAAGGCAAATTAGAATTAGAACTTGACTTTCTTAAAGCACAACAGACTAGAAATCTGGATTTTTGTGATTTTTAGGTAAATAAAATTTTGAGGAACCACTTAATTAGGCCCCACTGGATGTTTGCAATGGATAACATCATCCGCAGAGCAGTGCAAGCTGCGATCACCATTCTTATCCCAGGTAAGTGCCCTCTGAGGTCAAGGTCAGCATCAGGCTTTAACAAAGACCAGAATTATTCTCTGCATTCAACAATCATTTTTTTCCCCTGTTGGCTTTATACAATCCTGCAGTAAAGTGAATGCTGTCATAGATCCCATCAAAGTTGAACAGTCTATGATAAGAACATATGGTACTTACTTATGTGTCCCCTGAGTGTAATGAAAGTGACTACTTACAAATGCATCATGTAAAAAGGCAGGGATCTTCCAGTGCTATGGTACCCATTTCAGTGTGTGTGCTCACAAATGCTTGCTAGATAGTTGAAAAGAAAACGGCTCCATTTCTTTTTCCTCTCTCTGAATTATCTTCTAGTAGCTATAGGAATTTGGGGTGTTTTTCCCCCCTGCTGGGGATCAAACCCAAGGCCCCATTCCTATCAAGCATGCCTTCTACCTGAGCTATTGAGCTATGCCCCCAGCCCAGTTTTGGGCTGTTGTAGACTTATTTCTGGAAATGTTAGAGCAACTTCATGGCAAAGTCACTTCCCCTTCTGTGTTACTTCTTCCTGTAATGGGAGGCTTTAGAAGGGTTCTATGGACCTGGCCTCTTCCTCTCTTTACTCTGGGACTTTACTGTTCATCTTCTGTCTGCTCTCCTGAATGCTCTGTAGCCTACGCTCAACTGGCAGGAGGGGCATGTGAACCCCATGTTCCTGCTCTAAGCAAGTATTCACCTGGTTGTATCTTTGTAAAGCCTCCTTGACTAACCTCCTTACATCTTTGTGTAAACTGGGAGGGATCATTTTTATGGTGCAGGGAACCAAACAGAATTGTCTTCTCTCCTTTTATAAAGCTAGCACGCTCCCCTTGAGTAGCCTCATTTGGTGGCACAGGACGTGAGCTAAATGCCATGATAACCATGGTCTATGATTTCACAGAGCTCCGAGCTCACTTTGAGCCTACGTCTGAGACCGAAGGGGTAGATAAGGACACAGATGAAGTGGAAGACGACTATCCCTTAGTAGACCTGCCTGGAAGCGAAGCACATGTGGCATCGGGAGGGAGAAGACCTAGTGCAGCTGTTGCCGAGGAGGCCCAGCCCCACCAGCAGCTCCTGAGCCTCCAGCTGAGCAAGCTCAGGCAGGAGAGCAACAGGTGATGACCTTCCAGGCCCTCAGTCTGGAATGAATTGAGTTGTTTGGGGCCTCACATCTTTACCATCAATGAACTGGGCAAGGTTTTATGTGCAGTTTCAGCTGAGGAACTAGAATGCCTTCCTTTAATATTAGGAATAAGTATAGGGCCTTGTCACAGGCCACAGGGAACTTTGCCATACTAAAGACAGCAGTACCTTAACTCTTTTCTGTATCTTTACCAAGATGGGATCCTGGCATGGCACATGGCCTGGCATGCTCAGTAGACATCTGTAGTAGCAGAGTTTGGGGGTGTTTGCACTTCGTTATGGATGATGGACTCTGATCCCAAGGAAGTCTGCCCTCTCGTGTCTTCCTGGTAATTTGTCACGTTCCCCAGGCAGGTATCAATGAACTGCCTTCCCAACCAGGGTACCCTGGCATCATCATAATGTTCCCCCAATGCCCAGGTCTATTTTGTTTACTTCCTGGTATCCAACAGGTGTTTCATAAGCATTTGTTAAATGAACAAACTGATTCCTCTTTATTTTGAAGATTCACATCAATCAAAATCAAAATGCAAAAATCAATGAGCTTTTAAAACAATTAGAATCTACAGCTATGGCAAACTGTTATTGGGAGAGAAGGTGCTGGATGTATATACTTTGGATGAAAAATTGTGCAAACCCCCAGGATATTTCAGGTTTAATTTCTAGACATTTCTTTAACAGACCTGAAATCTTAAGTAAATAGTAGTGGTGGCAAAATTTTAAGAAGATGACAAACATGAAATTGGTAGTAAAACTTGGTGTTCTTCAAAACTTTTTTTCCCAATTCAGTTATATGTGGGATCAAAGGTCATTCCTCTCCACTGTTCAGTCATGCCATTATTTTCTATTCTTAGTAGACTCAGGAATTGGTTAAACAGCATTCAGCACATTAATGTGAATGGCTAACAAAGCGGCTCTTGGGCAGCCTGCCCATCCTGTGGCAAATGCCTTGACCATGCAGCAGTTGGGCAGAGCTGTAGCAGGATGGTCTGTGATGTGACTGGAGATAACTAGTCTGTCCCAATGACAGGCCTGAAAACGCTTTGCACTGAAGGGGACCAAGCACGGGCTAAAATTGTCTCCTTCACTTTGGTAGGAAGAAGACTGCTTGACAAAGATATAGGCAAGGCCAGGGGTAGGGGGTTGGAATTCCTCACTAGAAAAATTTACTCCTTGCTGGGGCAGGAGTGTTTGCCTCTCCCCATGCCATTTTGTCACTGAATCATCCAGGGGTACCTGTGTTCTCATCTGTTTACACATTGTTGCAGTGACTTCTCAGAGTTAAACATCAATGATTAACTTTTACTAATCCAAATAAAGCTTAGTTCTGTATCCCTAGTTCACCAGCATGGGTAATATACATAAAGAACATGCAGTTAAAACAAAACTAATCTCGTGTTTTAGGTACATAAGCAAACAAAAGAAGGTAAACATGGCTCCAGTTTACCAGTCCTGCTTCGCTTCTCCCAGGCATATGATCCAAGCTGGCATGGAAAGGACCCAGAAGTTGGAGGCTCAGATGTGCCAAACTCTTTCTTGTCCCAGGGAGACCGTCCTGATGGGGAAAGCCCAGTTTCTGTAACTCTGGGTGAATTATTTAGTGACTCAGTGCCTCAATACTTCAGCTCTGAGTGGTATTAAGGCCTAAATGACCTAATCCACTAAGTGTTGTGCAATCCTGGTTTCTGCATAGATATTCAGTGTTAGTAGTTCTGCCCTGTGGACCTCTGGCTCTCCTCAGCCAGCAGCTGTCCCCTTGCTTCAGCTCCCTCCAAAGAAGGAGGGTAACCTATTTTCAGCTACTGTATCTTAGGGAGACAAGCTTAAGGAATCAGGTAATCCTTCTGGCTTAGTTGTACTGATCGACATCAGATTAACTTCTAGTTCATGATATACTTTGAGACAAAACTGTTTAAGTCTGGTTCAGGCTGCTATTACAAAATACCATCAACTGGTGGTTTACAAACAACAAATTTACTTCTCCCAGTTCTGGAGGCTGAAGTCCAAGATCAAGGGCTAGCAACTTCATAGATGACTGGCTACTCACTGTATTATTGCATGGTGGGAGGGGCGAGGGAATCTCTGGGATCTTCTTCCAAAATACCTTGGTGGCTAGGGTTCAATAATATAAAATGTACCCACGCTCCAGGTGCTGGTCTTTGTTGTTAAATGAGAAAAGGTAGGTTCCCCTGCATAAGCTGAAACCTGGTTAACAGAACTCTGAAGAAACAAATCTGCTTCCCCCTGAGCTGACTGAAAAAAAAAAAAAAATTAAAGGCATAATCCCAACAATCTCTTAATGTTAAACAAATGTTTGAGTTGAATTGGATAGTACTGAGCTAATGATGCTTTTTTTTTAAACCAGACTCTTGGAACACCTAGTCCAAAAAGAGAGAGAGTACCAGAATCTTCTACGGCAAACGCTAGAACAGAAAACTCAAGAATTATATCACCTTCAATTACAATTCAATTATAATGGTGAGTCATTGTTCATGTAACTCTAACTAAGGTGTGTCAGAAAGACAAACTAAAAATCTGCTGAGCTGGGCACGGTGGCGAACGCCTGTAATCCCAGAGGCTCAGGAGGCTAAGACAAGAGGATCACGAGTTCAAACCAGCCTCAGCAACTCAATTCAGCGAGACTCTGTCTCTAAATATACAAAATAGGACTGGGGATGTGGCTTAGTGGCCGAGTATCCCTGAGTTCAATCCCTGATTACCCACTCCCCCTGTCCCCCAAAAAACCTGCCTAATATTTTAGCCAGCCTTGAAAAAAATTTGAGATTACCTTCTATTAAACCAGGACTCTAGTAGATTCTGGAATACTATTCAGTAATAAAAAGGGAACTGCTGATACTTGCAGTATGCTAAGTGAAAGAACAGATTCCATTCACACAGTTCTCTGGAAAAGACGAGAGCTTCAGGGGCAAAAAACAAATCAGAATGGATAGGAGAGGGGACGGATTATGCGAGAACACATGAGAACTTTGTGGAGTAATGGAAATATCTGTATCTCAATTGTGGTAGTAGTTACATGACCGAGTTTGTCAAAAGTAAATCTAAAAAGGGTGGTTTACTGTCCAAATTATATGTCAGTATATCTGACTTTCTCCTTTTGTGGGCTATAGCTACCTCTTGGGGTATGGTCTACATAAGCGCCGATGTAATGTAAAAATCTACCTATTTCACCTGATTTTCAGTGTAGTTAGGGCTGTGCACCTGAAGAAAGGTCATTTTTTAAACATTTAAAGTAAGACAACATCAGATTACAAACTTAAGGTGCTGAGGTAAGGGTAGTTCTCTCTGGAAAGTCAGTTTAAGAACTAGGAATTGTATAAAACATATTAGAGCAGATCAATGACACAGGTTTAATACATCTTTTCATACCACATTTTATATTATGGATAGTTACTTTTTTAAGAGTTTTATGGTTACAATTAATATACAATGAAACAAATTTCTAATTGTTACAGGTATGACAAAGAACCTAGCACCCCCTCCTAGGCAGGGAACTGATAAAGAGCTTATAGACTGGCTACAACTGCAAGGAACAGATGCAAATACAATTGAAAAGGTAAATTTATAACCAAAAACTATTCCTATGATATTGTTAAAAGCTGCTTATTTCTTATGTATTTGATCTTTGTTTCAGATTGTTGAAGAAAATTATACACTTTCTGATATTCTTAACGATATCACTAAGGAAGACTTACGATGCCTTAGACTACGGTAAGAGCTTCAAAACGGCTTATTAGAACCTTTTCTGGGTAAATACATTAAAGTAGGCAATAGTGCTGGTAACTTCCCCTCTTTGAAATTCATTCCCTTTCCAGTGTCTTTGAAAACATACTACCTCTTCTCTCTCCAAAATCTTGGCAGGTTTGGGCTGGGCATGAGGTACCAGTGCACTAGACCCAACCCCTCCCGTGGTCTTGTTCCCATGTCATTTAAAATAGCCACCTCTACACCAATCCATCAGCGCTCCTGTGCACACTTCTAATACCATGTCCTAGCACTGCTGGCACTCAAGGATTATATTCACACAGGAAGAGAACATATTTTTGGTTTTGTTCATTATCTAAATTAAAATGGGACTGCATTTGTAAGAGTAGATGGCCAATCTTAGATTAGTTTTGGGGTTGTCAGTTGGAACTTTGCCTTTCTTATGGTAACTCCTTTGTTCCACAGTGGTGGTGTCCTCTGTCGTCTGTGGCACGCAGTCTCCCAGTACAGAAGGCAGGCTCAGGAGTCCTCAGTGACAGAGGACTAGGCTTAATCACACTCAGCTAAGCTGGGAGGACACAGTGAGCACATATCCTCCTGCTTGTGGTTAAAGCTTCTTCTGTACATGTATACACAAATTCTGCTCAGTTTACACAAGAAAAAGATGTGTTCAATTAATTCAAGAATCTGGTGAAGTTTGTCATTTTTTTGTGTCATTTTTTAAAACCTATTATTTATGAATGTTTTAAAGATTATATAGAACTGTATGTAATGTGAATAGTGAGCTTTAGTTTTGATATCCTAGAGTATTAGGAGAATCTCAGAAAAAGAGACTCAGCATTCTGTTATTTTAAATACAATGGTAGTTTAAAATGAGACAGGTGTTGTAGGGTAAGCATTATTAACTAGTATAGAACCTAAATGTGATAGGACTGTAACCACTGATGTGTAAATGGAGAAAACTAGTTGTTTGGCCTTTCACCTGTTGCCTGGTTATAATAATAAAAAAAATATGAAGAAATGATGGCTTTAGCTGTGCAATGCCAGAATTGCGTCTTCTCAGGGCATAGCCAAAACAGGTGGCAGGGTTGGAACAGGTACACAAGGAAGTGTTCTTCCTTCTAGTGACCAGACAAACAACTATTTGGGAGAAGGTTAAACTCTATTAGACTTGTAGATCTGAAATAGGTAATACAATAATATAATAATCACAAAACACTCAAGCACTCAACATCTTCTAACACAACAATATACAAAACTGCATGCACTTACTCTCCCTTCAATTTAATTTACATGCTATTTATTAAAGTTGACAACGCTGTTCCTTATAGTTGCTGACAAATAGCCCATCATTACACACATCTCCCATTAACTGACTGACTTAAACTTGATCCACTGGTTGGCACCACGCACTTCAAAAGGTGGATCGCTGCTATAGATGTGGTAGCCTAGTTCCTCCAAAGGTGGCTCAGGATCAGCTGTGGCAAACTGGGCAGCGTCCTCAATTTCTTTCCTTACTTCAACATCAATTTCCTAAACATTGGATTACAGTGCAAGAAATTTTTAAATTAACAGCAGCTTGGGTAGCACCTGTTTATCTCCACAGGAAGATAACAATCCAGGGACTGTACAAACTGTGCTATGGGGGAAAGTGCAAAAAAAGGCTTTTTGCCAATATGATCTGTGATAATCATACTTTCACTACTTAGTTCGCTGCCCACCCCACCTAATCTTAATAAAGAACAGCCCTATGAGATTTCAGAATTATTCCCTGTCATATCATTTTCCCAGGCTTGAACAAATCAAGACTCTGTGGTTACCCAGAGGTGGCAACTTTTTGTGGGAGGGAGGAAAGAGAGCCACCTTTAAAGCCAGACTTAAACCACTAAGAGTGAATGTACCTTTAATTCTTCAACACTGGCAAGATTGCTGTTCACCATTCTATCCTTAAGAAGCATTATAGGGTCACTCTTACTTCTTACTTCCTGAATTTCTTCTCGTGTGCGGTAACTGTATGAGGAAAGAAACACAGTGATAGATGTAAGAACAGTTCCAGTGGGGCAGATAGCTAGGTGAAGTCTGAGTACATTCCTGAGAGGAAGGGACACATCAACACTAATGTTACTGTGAGAAGAGCAGAGTTATACTTCCAAAACACAAGAAAGCAGCCTGTAAGAGCTGCTTCTATCTTCTATAGCAAAACAGTATGCTGAAACTCATAGGGCTTCTCTGGCATTCTCACAATGGGGACCAAGTTCTGTTTTGCTTCTTTGATCTAAAAGAGTACAAAAGAAGTGTCACCTGTCCCACTCCTTTAGGCTATTATATTTTACATGGGTTGGGTTTAAACAGAGAGGGGGAGATGTTGAGAGCCACAGCCGAAGGGGTCCCAGCAAACTTTCAGACTGCCAGCTGATGATTGGCTCACAGCGGCCCCAGCAACTTCTAGCTGATTGGCTCCTCTGCAGTGATGCTCATTGGGCTGTTTCCCTGCCCTTTCAGACCACGGAGCTGCTCATTGGGGGACTTTTTGGCTCCGCCCATGCAACCCAGCCAATCGGCCTCAAGAGCAGGAGGAGTGGGGGAGGTTGAGAGGCTTGTGGGAAGCCGGTGGTGGCAGTTGGGCTCTGAGGGTTTTTCCTGAGGAGCTGTTTTGTTTGGCGTGTGTGGTTCTAAAAATAAAGTTAGTTTCTTTTGACAAATGGCTCCTGAATTGTGCCCAGCCAGACTGCGGCATTCATTAGCCCAATGTCTCCCTCTATGGCATCGTGGGCAAATACCCGGTATTCTACTCCTTTGATACCTAGTTTTGTTAAACCCTCCTCCTATGGGGCAATTGTAGCATGTTCTTGGCCTGGCATCTAAAGCCTGTTTTACTGCAGCTGCCACAATTTGCCCTTGTCATTAATGTCTCTGGCATCTAAAGCCTGTTTTACTGCAGCTGCCACGACCTGCTCTTGTTCATTAATGTCTCTACATAATTTAATATATGTGTTTAAATCTTCATGTTTGCATGGTCTAATGATTTCTCTGCACCAACGATTCGCTTGGTCATAAGCCAGTTGTTTTATTAATGGCATTGCTTGTTCTGTATTCCCAAAAACTCTGGTAGCTGTTGCCTATCTACAAATTCAGCATAAGATTCATTAGCTCCTTGTATTACCTTAGATAATTGACCTTGTAAACCCTCCATGTCCTTGTAAAGTCTTCCATGCCCTAACCGCCTCTGCAGCAATTTGTGCGTATACGCCAGGATCATATGCAATTTGTTGCTGCTGATCCTCATAAGGTCCCTTTCCTAACAACATATCTAGATTTCTCTGAGGATAACCAGCTGCTGCATTTCGCCTAGCCATCTCCTTGCAAAATTCCTCATTGGCAACCTTCCATAACAGGTATTGTCCTCAATTTAGCACAGCTTTACACATATTAGCCCAATCTACTGGTGTCATGTTCAAGTTGTTAATGGATTCGACCAAGCTTACAGTGAAGGGTGCTTGAGGACCATAGGTTGTTACAGCCTCTTTTAGCTGCTTCACTGTTTTGAAATTTAAAGCATGGTGAATTCGCTGCCCTCCTGCCTCAAATACAGGGCATGTTAATATTTGAGATCCTGTCTCAGGATCCCAACTATCAACTGCGGGGGTTGGGAGCCTCCCAGCATATGGAGGTGGTGCTGTTGGTTGGACACTTATGCCCTCTGGTGATAGAAAGGTTAGTAGCAGTCTCCTGTTGTAACTTTTCCCCTGATGGCTTTTTCTGCTCTAAACAGGCTATTATATTTTACATGGGTTGGGGTATCAATGCCAATCACTTTGCCTTTCTCCCTTAGAACCGCAAACAAAGCATGGCCAGCAATTACTTAAAAGACACCAGGTTTTCTGATTCTTGTATATATCTGAAATAACACTAAAAGCAAGTGTTCTACCTTTTTAAAAAAAAAAAAAAACAAAGTACTCACACTTAATTTGTACAATAGACTTTGACTAAATTGACTTTTAATTGTGTTGAGTCTGTGACTGCAGAATTATATGAGATATCTAGTAAGTGAAAAAGGAAAACTCACACCTTCCTAATGTAACCTAGCTCTTTTGATATTTCAACCTATTGAACACCTCCCTCCCAGCCAGAATATTTCCAAATCCTGGTTCTCTTCAGGTACAGTATGCCATGAGTGAATTTGGGATAATGCCTACATAAGCTAAATGCCTCCAAATACATTACTCTCCCATCATACCTGTTTTATCTAACAATTTCCCTCTACAATTTAGTTATATGCTTTAAAAAAAAAATTACTGCTCTTGCTAACATCCAGGGACTTTCTGAATGCTTTCTATATTGGAACCAATTTATTAGTAGTACTGCTTTCAGACTAAGACTCAAATAACTACTTGATGTCAACAAAAGTAATTTCATGTGAGCAGCACTAATCCAAGCCCATCCTCTTTGAAAACCACACCCAGATCTCCCATGACTATACCTGACTCCAGGGTCACTCATACTGTGTCCATGATAACGGTAAGTCTGCAGCTCCATCAGGATGGGACCCTAAAATGGAACCCATAAATTGTTAGGTAAGATAAGGGGACCAGGACCAGTAATGCCAACAATTCACAGCCTCAAACAGAGACCCTTGCAGCATACAATATATTCTCATCCAATCTTCTATAAATCACCTGTCAAGGATTTCTTATTATTTATGGCACATTTCATCCTTCTCATTTTTAATAGGAACTTAAAGCCAGGTACAGTGTGGACTGTATAAGCTTGAGGCCAGCCTCAGTAACTTGGTCTCTGGGGGTATAGCTCAGTGTACAGAACTTAAAGCACTCTGCCAACAATTTGTTTTTAATCAATCACTGAACATCTCAGAGCCCATGGACATTAAGTGATTTCCACTTGCACCTAAACAACTTTGCTCATTTTATGATGCAGTGTTTCTTACAGGGACCAGCCACCAATCCAGCTTCACCTAGACTTTGCTGGTTTAACAGAAAGCTGGCAGGCACCAGTGACCTTTGATATCTAAAGCTTGCAACTCTGCTAGGAGTCTGGCTAGCCCAGCTGTGCATCACACCAAGCAGCTTGCGCATACTACACTAGCCTACTTTGGCAAGGCTATAAACACTGACAAGTGAGGGTGGATTCATTTTGGCATTTATTCATTTAGTCTTTTAGTAATGTCATCTTGTAGTCATTTGGAATCACAGTGCATTGGGCCAGGGGTGATAAAGGGGATTTCTAGGCCCTCCCATAGTTCCAAGATCAGGCTTTGGTCAGGTTAAATCAAAATATTCTATGAACTGACCATGTTTTCACCCAGGGTTGGACTCCAAATGTTCTTCTCAGGAATTGGAAGAGATGGGGAAACATACCTGAGGATCTGGCTCCTAGTCTTACAGTCTTCATATGGACTGCTCAGCCCACTGCAGTCAATCTATCACCTTAGTCCTGCTCACCTTAGTCCTCCTCTAGCTCATCACTTCATCTCCCTCCTAGTTTCCTTTCCCTCCATCCTGACTTTTTCATCATTACTATTCACATATGATTTACACTACTGCCCAAATATACACATGGCATGCCACTAAAAGGTAACCATAGGGCTGTGCTTTCTCAGCTGTGGAACACTGATTTAAGGAGAGCAATGAAGGTACTTTAACCTCTTTTTAGGCCAATTTCATTGTTTTCTTTCTCACAGCTATACACACTTAATAAGCAAAATCCTATGCTGGGCATTGTGGCAATCCCTGATCTGGTCACTCAAGGGGCTTATAATTAATGGGTGGGTGGGTGAGCAATTAACCAAAACAAAAATAGATCATCATGATGGAAGACAGAGGTGAAATACTGAGGAAACACTAGAAGACTGACCTCAAATGGGGGAAAAGTAAAATGTTTCCCAGGATGTGAGCTACCAAGACCATGCTATTCATAGGACTCCATTCACCTGCCTAGACTCTGCTTCTACTTCATATACTTCAATTAGTAACTAGTCCTGGAGAGCTACCAGAGGCACATGGGAAATCTTAACTTAAGAAATTTTTAGCTAAGACAAAGTTATTGGGGAGTCTTACCTTCCCAGATCTACAATAGGCAGCCGCAAACCTTGTTGCCTCTCGGACACACAGGATATCCATTCCATCCACCTGTTAATAGCAACAGAACATAAATCCAACTGTCCAAACCCATTTTACCTATTTCTTTCTTTAAAGAGTGCTGGGGATAGAACCCAGGGCTTCACACATGCTGGGCAAGCACTCTAGCCCCCCATTTTACTTTTATATGACCTGCTCATATCTAAGAAAGTCTAAGATCACCAAGAGTATATATGAGGGTCTCTAGCTGAGAGGATGTGGCCCTGGCTCTACAAACAGATGTCCTTACCCTAAGCCCAGGAATAAAATCGCCTCTTTTGTAGTAATCAGTGCTGGCTGCTGCTCTCTCAACAGATGTTCCCATTCCATAGCGGTTATTCTCACAGATGAAAATACAAGGTAATTTCCACAATGCTGCCATATTGTAAGCTTCAAATATCTGACCCTGTAAGTAATTATAAAAAGTTGAAATGGTTTCATTTTGCTCATTTCTCTAGACTTCATCATCATCCCAATAGTTGTTGCTCTGCCTGGCATACAGTGCTTTCATAAAGACTGAAAAGCCTCATCATCTAAAACCAAGTTTCTGGTGGTGTGTGTGTGTGTGTGTGTGTGTGTGTGTGTGTTGGGATGGTGGGGAAAAGCGGCAGGCATCATACTCTTGCAACTAAGGGGAGAAAATACCATTACTTGTTTCTCTGGGGCCTCACTACTAGTACAGAATACACTGGAAAGATCAACATGTAAAAACTACCTAGTTTTATGCTTTGTTAATCTATACAACCCACTGGATAACCAGAGTGAAACAGCATCTATAATACCCAGCCCGTCACCACAGAACATTTGAGAAGCACTAATGTACAGCATAGAAGAGCTCCTTCACAAGAAGTGCCCCTGTAAGGTTTGGGGTAAAATGTGCCCAGGAGTAAATCTCTTATCTTGGTCAGAAAATCAAAGGCTAATTTGACATATGAAATACTATTTTAACCAATAAGCCATATACTATTTCTTTACAAGCTCAACTTTGAACATTCAATACTTTGGAACCGAAACTAATTGTTGTTACAAAGTTAATAGACACATACCTGGTTAGCAGCACCATCACCATATAAAGTCAAACAGACCTCATCTTTTCCATTGTACTTGCAGGCCAGAGCAATCCCAGCTCCCAGGGGCACCTAATAACATTAAGGATGACCAAGAAAGGAACCACAGAAATCCATGAGAGGAGTAATGCTCTAAATTTTAACTCCTGGACAGAATTTGAGACAGAAATAACACTATTGCTACACACTATTCCTACCCCAACCCTGTCTCTGGTTCACCCACCCTGATATATAGCATATTCTATTTTGGCCAGTAGGCAATGACTTATCTGTATTTAAAGATTCAACTACTGGGCTGGGGTTGTAGCTCAGTGGTAGAGCATTCGCCCAGCACGTGTGAGGCCCAGGGTTCAATCCTCAGCACCACATAAAAATAAATAAATAAAGGTATTGTATTCAACTACAATAAAAATAAATTTTAAAAGATTCAACTACTAACCATAAAGAATTAAAAAATGAAACATAGGTTTAAAATATATGTAACAGACTCTTACTCTATTAGGTATATTGCATGCTATTAATTTTTCATCATTCAATAACTGATGAGGGCAAGGACTCCCTACTGATAGAGGCTGGCTTTGGATCATTAGTAGGCCCCTAAAATCCTGACTGCCCACCTCTTTTAGTGTTAGGAGCTAGGACAAGGCAGAGGCAGGTGAAGTTGATGTGATGAAGTAATTAATGTGCTGAAATATAGAGGAAAGTGAAGGGATAGTTCTGCTAGAGGCTCTTTGCCTACTTGTTAAACATAAAAATGAATAAATTTTAAATCACTATCCAAATCTACTTATTAATTGTTCAAATGGCAACTTAAGAAGCAATAGGGATTTAAAAGCAAACCAAGCCCCCACAGTACTAAAATCCTTCAGAGAGAAGTTCTCTGGGGTGTCAAAAGTTTCTGAAGACATGGCCAGGACCATATCTACAAAAGCACACGATCCTCATCTTTGACTACCTGAGCTCCGACAATGCCATTGCCCCCATAGAAGTTCTTGGCATACATGTGCATCGATCCTCCTTTCCCTTTAGCACAGCCTCCTCTTCGTCCTAGAAAGGGCAGAACACACACTCATGAAAAAACAAAGTCATAAAACCACACCCAAGTCTTTACTCTGAGACCAGTTCAATCCCCAAAAGCCTCTGTCCCTCCATGTAAACATGTTCCTCCTTGTCTCCCTGCCCTTTGATAAGGAAGTTCAGACTAATTCCATGTCTTTGACCATTCATTCCAATCACACCTGTTCTCTAATCATTTAGTTGCCTTCAGATGTTCAGTATAGTAGTCAGGACTTCTTTTTTGGCCAGTCAAAATGTATCTCCTGACTTTTCTACATTGGTAAACTAAACAGTTCAAGAGTCAAAGGGACAAAGAAAATAGGAATATTAAAGATTGCTAGAATCTACACCGTGTACCAGGGAGTGCTTCAACCCAACTTATTTTACCATTACTGCTTTACTTCTACTGGCAGGCTTGATGATGATAACTGCACTCTGATTTATAAAATTTTCATTTAAGGGACTAGATGACTTTACAAATGGCTAGTTTACTCCCAAGGACAACAAATGTACCTAAACATCAAAGGATTTTGATGAGGATTTTGGGGGGGTTTTAATTTTAAATTCAAAAAGGTTTTAGCACTAACTTACAATGGTTAGCACCTTAATGGTGAAATATCTGAAAATTTAATTCATTATCTTCCCTTCTATAAATCCATAGCAAACCTGTTAGCTCTGCAAGAATTTCTCGGACAGAAAGGCCTCGAGTAAAGGTGAAACCATGAGCCCGGTAGGCTGTGATGAGGTGGTCCGTGGGATTTATGCCAGCCTCCAGGCCCACACAGCAGGCTTCCTGCATTAAAGGAAGAAGAAACCAACATGATACTTCATACTCATTTCTGGATAAAAAGATTTCTATTAGACCAAATATTATGAAACATTATGTTATGTGGGCTAAAACTCATTAGTAACTACAGAAAGTGACTTTTTTTTTCCTTCAAAAACAGTGGAGGGTAAGGCCCTAATCAGAAGCCATAAACAATCCACAGATATGCCTGTACAATGAAAGATCCTAAGTCAGATGTGAATGTTAAAATACTGAGGGGATGTAACATGAAAACTGAGACTTGTTTTTTCTCAGAGAAATAAAACACTATGAAGCCTTAGCCCCTTATTTCCATTTGGCACCAACTAGCCGAAACCATAGCACGGCACCCTTCTGGACAGGCATACTGCCCCATTCAACCCTGGTCTGTCACCATTCCCCATGTTTTGTATATCCAATCATTTTCATTCATTGATCCTATCTAACTGGCCCCTATAGACATTTGAGTTTGTAACCTTTGGCCTAAACCCACAAAACAACAAACCAACAAAATAACCTTTTCTCCTAGGAGTATACACAGTACAGGTGATTGCAATGTCAGAAAGTTTTGTTTTATTTTAAACAATACCTTTATTTTATTTATTTTTTGTATGAGGTACTGAGGATAGAACCCAGTACCTCACACATGCTAGACAAGTGATCTACCACTGAGCTATAGCCCCTGTCAGAATGTTTTAAATTAGGAAAATTCTAAGAATGCATACAGGAAATTGGCAATGTTTTATGTGAATGAATGCTTAACTTAAGCTTCACAGCAGGTTCTGGTATTCTACTTTTAATTTTAAATACCAACTTCAAATCCTTCTGGAAAAAAAAAGTGAAAAATCAAAAAATAGGAACCTTACCTAAATAAACATGGTTTTATTAGAAACCTACCACTTACCTGACCATCACACAAGTGACAGAAACCACGAATGATTTTCTGTTTATAAAGCTGATCAGCCTTTAACTCCATTCGGCGCACAGTCTGCATCATCCTATAGTATTTGAGCCCATCCTCCCTGGTGAGCACTGTCGTGACAGGAGGGCCCTCTTCCAGCCGGTGAAGGTCACATTTCTGAAATGGAGCAAGGCAGTCATCCCCTAGTTACTATATCGCAAACACTGCTGACTCATTCTAAGATCCAACTTGGTCGCAAATAATACTGAACTCAAAAACCAGCAAAGGAGCATATCATCAATGCTTTATATTATTTCTGACTCTTTAAATCTATAAGCCACACCAGGCAAAGGGATGGGGCTTTGGAGGAAGGAAATTTTTCTAAGATTTTTTTTTTTTAATGAAAACTCCTAGACGTCAACTGAGTTATACATTGAAAAATCAATTCTCATCAAGAATCATCTAAGAACCTTCTTATTCGAATGTTTTACTGAGTCACATCCTAAAGTTTGAAATAAGTTTTATTATTTAAGCCTCCCTTCCCTGAAACATCAACAAACTGCTAAGAATAAATTCTTATTTTTGCCCAACTTCCCTGAGCCTTTGATTCTGGAACATTTGGGAGAAAATGTCAAAAAAACATAAGTATCAAAATGTTCTGAAGGTATAAAACTATATCAGAGTATATCTGTGGAAAAACTTATCACGAAGTAAAATACCTCTTACCTTAATTTCAAATGTAGCATCATTTGCAAAATTACGGGATGCCACTAGCACTCTGCTTGCCTAGAAGACAAAAATACACAAATCAGTACTTTTTTTAGTGTCAGTTATTTTAGAAAGTCGTCATTATCATTGATCAATTATCAGGATGTAGTCTGGAATATAAGGGGACCCAACATGTTCATGGGCTTCTCTTCCATTCTATTCACTATGCTGGTATCCTCATCTTCCAAAATAAATCCAGGCTTTGGCCAATCAAACATGATCATACCCCTCTCTAAAGACAAAGTGAAAGATGGCAAAAACCAAACCCATACATTTGATCACTTTGTTTTTAAAAAAAAAAAATTACAGTGGGAATATAATGAAATTAATGGCCAAAATGAAGAGACTGTGGGCTTTATACTATTTTAAGTCATAACCTCATATCCTCATCTGGAGGTTAACTGTTAAAATTATATTTCAAATAAAACTATTGGCACTATTCAAAGTATGAAATGAGTACATTAGTGAGAAATATACAAGGTGGAACCAAAGATATATTTAGGCACTGACTTAGAAACAATAGACTTGAGCCAACAGTTTTATAATTTGCACAGCCTAAATCTTGGGTGGGCTCCTCCTGAGGCCCAAGAAGGGAGAAATGTTCTCTAAAACAGTGTTTCTTTCTTGATGTTTGGGTAGCTGTCACCGCTTGGGGGTAATGATTTCTTTCTACTTTTACAAGGGAACAGAGCTGTTCACAGCAAAAGTATTCTATGTGGTGGCTAACATTCAGGTTAGATTTCAAAGATACTGTATTATATTAAACAGCCACTTTCTACCACATTTTCATACACTTACAAGTAAACCAGCATACATTCTTTTTATGGAGATCTTAAGCACATTCATCAGATCCCATAAAACACACACCTGACATGTAATACAGCATTTGTTTTTTTACTATCTAACTCTAGCACTGGACTTCTTTTGGTAAGAAGAGTTAAGAATGATGTGCTATGTGGACCTCCAAATGAACAAGCCAAGAGGCAGAAAGCTATTATCCACTCATCTTTTTACTTGTCAATATATAGCAGTTCCTCCTTATCTGCAGGGGTTACACATTCCAAGACCCAGAATAGATGCCTAAAACCACAGGTAGTACTGAACCCTACATAGAGCACTGTAATAGTGAGACAGTAGATTTTATAAGCAAGAGGGCTCCTAAGTGACTAACAGGCATGTAGCATATACTAAGTGTATCTTGGACAAAGGGATGATTCACATCCTGAACTGCATGAGATTTCACCATACTACTCATAAGGGTACATAGATTAAAACTTTTGAACTGCTTATTTTTGGAACTTTCTGTTTAATATTTTTTCAGGCTACAGTTGACCACAGATAACTAAAATCAATGAAAGCAAAAACACAGACAAGGAGGGATTACTGTACCACTATCTGATAAAGCAACAAACAAACAGGCCAATGACACATACAAAAAACTCTAAATACTAGAAATAAATGCTTCAGTTAAACAGAGGTAGAGTCCATTAATATATCTCAAAATGAAGAAAATTTAGAAATTAGTGAAAAAGTAAAGCTGAGGGGTGAGGCAGCAAAAAAAGTTGATGTTTGACAGTCATGAAACAGATATGGATTTTGGGTCATTAAATTATTTTTCAGAGCCAAAACTATCTATTGTATTGAAAACTAAATCTCCAGATAAAACTACAGGAACTACAGTTTTGGGAACAATTTAAAAGTAGAGATCAAACCAGGTGGCAATGGTAACAAAAAGCAAATTCTTTCTCAATCATAAAGTCAAAACAATGAAAAATGATAAACTGTGCTACATAAAATAAAGAACAGGAAGGGCAAAAACTGTAATTGCCAGAAAACTAATTTATCCCCCTTTTTCAATACTAAGAACCTCAAAAATAAGCAGGACCACTGATACAATGGGTGAAAGGGGCAAACATATGGCTAAAAGCCATATCAGAAATGTGAGTGTATCATATTTTTAACTGAGATTTCTTTTTTTAAAATATTTTTTTAGTCGTAGTTGGACACAATATCTTTATTAAATTTATTTTTTATGTGATGCTGAGGATCGAAACCTTGCATGTGCTAGGCGAGCACTGAGCCACAGCCCCAGCTTAACTGAGATTTCTTAAAAGACAACTACCATTCATTTTCTCTAGAGAGCCATAAAAATATTCTCTTTTAAATGGGATTCTTTTTTTGGGTGGGGGCGGGTACTGGGGATTGAATCCAGGGCCTCAAGTATGCCAAGCATATGCCTTTCCACTGAGTTGCACCCCCAACCCCTAAAGGGATTCCTCTTTGACATAGACCCAACCTATTCAATAAAATGAAAACTAAGTTCCTAAATGCATAGGATTCATTTAAGTGAAGGTCGAAATATAGTTCAAAAATTTCAGATTCTACCAGTGTAAATTAAAAATGTTTCCTACTTCTCAAGAAGCCAAAAGAATGTTGGTAATATACATCTCACAATGCACACCTGTAATCCCAGCAGCTCGGGAGGCTGAGACAGGAGAATCACAAGTTCAAAGCCAGCAATATCGAGGCCCTAAGCAACTCAGTAAGACCCCGTCTCTGTCTCTAAGTAAAATACAAAATAGGGCTGGGGTTGTGGCTCAGTGGTCAAGTGCCCCTGAGTTTAATCCCTGATTAAAAAAAAAAAAAACAGAAATGCAAACAATAAAACAAAGAATAAAAAATTTAATGCAATTCAATCTTCTTCAGGAAATTATAACTTCAACTATCAATCTCATTAAAAAATAAAATCAGGATCTTCTAATTCATTTCAAAGTTTCATGCCAAACACTATGAGACAATGTAATCTATAAGCCTGAGATAAATCTCCATAGCTCCCTGTTTCAAGAGGGAATGGCAAACAAAGAGAAGAAAAAGTGAAAAGATGAAAGAAACATGCAGAGTCCTGGGAGGGAAGACAAGGGAATTAGTTTTAGGCAGAGTGTCACAGCTATCATATCAATTGCCTAACCTTTCTCCTTCCCTTCAAGGGGTAGATGATATGACTCTAGTTACACAAGTTTGCCGAATTTGGACAAGCCACTACTTACCATTTGTCAGTTCTTTGTGGGGGAAAGGCTTCTTACATGTATAATATAAAAAAGTAAACCTTAATCTATTTTGTATTATTTATACTGAAATGAAAAAGACATTCACTCATATGAAGAATTACAAAATGTAATAAAAGCCTACACAGTAAGAATTTATTGCTCTAACCTTTAAAAAGATAAGGGCAAAACTTTTAGTTCTTGCTAAATTTAGAAGCTCTAGGAATGGTTCCTAATTAATCAGCGCAGGACAAGTACAACTAACAGAGAAAACTAATTATCTGAAGAGTTGACACCACCAAATGGGAAGATAACTGAGCACTTTCTAAGGTGACTTCATCTCTGGAATTAAACTTTCTTACTCTAAGTTTAGGAGAAAAAACCTGCAAATAAGAGAAACAATAAATTTTACTTTCAGAATACTAAACCTCCATCAAGCATCTAACAGCAAAGAGTTAAGGATATTTCTGAGCTTCTACTACTAGTATTGCCCTCTATCAACAGATATCCCCAAAGAAGATGACACTTCTTAAAAGCAGAAACTCTTGTAGAAAGGTATGAAATTTAGCATTTATTAGTTTGAAGTTCCAATTCAACTTCTTAAAACCTTTTAAGAAGGTTATCATGGGGTTATTGTGAGGGTATGGAAGTAGGAAGGATAGTAGAATGAATCTGACATTATTACTCTATATACATATATGATTACTTGACCGGTGTGATTCTACATCATGTACAACCAGAAGAATGAGAAGTTATACTCCATTTATGTATGATATGTCAAAATGCATTCTACTGTCATGTATAACTAATTAGAACAACAACAAAAATATCAATAAACACTGAATATATCACACATAACATTAACAGGAAGGTGGGCTTCCAGTTACAATTCAAATGCTAATACAGTATCTGATTAACTCATTTTGTCCCATCAGCCCAATTGTGGAACACTTATAAAAATATAGTATGCAATATATAGCTACATAATAAGATCATATTAAAATATAACAATTATGTTAACAATATGTATAATCTCTAGATTGATATTCAACCTATTTTAATGCACCTGTGTCAATTTTGTTGAAATAATCTCAGACCTGAAAACCTGGGACTTAATGGGTTAATCAAATCGTGTTTTGTCATTTCTCAATGGGATTCCTAGAGCAGCCCACTTCCTACATTTTGAAATCTTTGCCCATAAGGCCCAGAGCAGCATTTAGTCCTGGGGAAATTACTAGAACCAGAATTACAAGTCAAAGCTTGGGACAGTTATATCAACAAACACTATCTTACTTTGCCTAAGGGTCAAAACGCTAGAAGCTTAGGTATGAGGAACATGTAAAAGCTGGGGCCATAAATAGTCTTAACCTTAACACCTACCCTCTTAAGATCACTTCTGTTTTCTTAGCTACTTTTACTCTAAGCCTCTGTGTGTTTAAGGGTAAAGGCAGTTTCCTCTCTGGGCTCTCCCTGACTGCTCTCAAGTAACTGCCAAGAAAAGCTCCAACGTAGAGAGAAAGGGAGGAAAATTTGTTTTTGGCGAGTCTGACCCTGTTTGAACCCTCATCAGAGCCGAGTGCATGTGTCTAACAAATGTATACCAAATTGGGCACTCCATAAAATAACAACTGTATTCAACACATATGTGCCAGACACTATTCGGAAAGGTTTAGGCAAGGTTCATTCCTTGAATCCTCCCAATGACCCCACGAGGAAAGTACTCTTTTGTTGTCGTTCTTTTTAGTTATTCATGACAGTAAAATCCATTTTGATATAATTATACAAGCATGGAATATATCATATTCTAATTAGGATGCTAGTCTTGTGGATGTACACGCTGGTGAGATTCACTATGGGGAAAAGACTCTTATTATCTCCTTTTTAAATAAAGAAACCAGCCACCAGGACGTCGGGGGAGAAAAAAAAAGTTTTTTGTGCTTCCCTAAGGTCACAAGAGTTAGTAAACGGTGAGAACGATATTCGAACCGAACAACTCAAGTCTCCGCATTCCAAGCTCTTTACTATTACGCACTACACAGCCTATCGATCAAGAACAATGAAATTACTAAAACTTGACATGAGTGGAATCAACTGGCGACCAGAAGTCCTAGGCTCCCCATTTCCATGTCCTGTAAACAGGGGCTGGCAATCCTCCAGCACTCCTCCTGCTCGGCCGGCGGAGCCGGGCCGAGGGGGGAGCGGGAGAGGAGGTGCAGCCAAACTCCACGAGAATCCCTTCTCCCTACCCCGCGCCGCAGGCGGGGCACCTGCTCCACGCCTCTCATCCCGGGCCCCGGAGCAGAAGGTACCGCAAGGAGTCAAAACAAAGGTCCTCGGTTCCCCTCGTGTCCCCCTTCCGGCGCCGGGCCCCAAACGACGAACAGCCGGGCGCCTGGAGGTCCAGTTCGCCCTCCTCCAGCCCCGTCTCGGCCCCACCTAGGCCTTGCTCAGGCCGCCTTACCGGCTTCTGGGCAGCGCCAGCCAACACGCGGGAGACTGCCGCGAGCATCTTCCTCATGGAGCAGGAGCAGCGACAGCGGCGGCGGCGACTCCAAGTCTCCTTCAAGCGCCCCGAGACGACGCCACGCCTTAAACGCAACACGACGTGACGGAGTCCGAACGACGTCAGGCGCCGCGCCGGTCTGCGAACCAACCAGAACGGCTCCCAGACGTTCTGCCCCGCCCACCCAGAAGGCTCGAGGCCGCTTGTTAAATATCAGCATCAGAACGGGCGGGGCTGTGGGCTCCTCCGGTCACCACGCGGCGGAAGGTTGAGGCGGCGGGGACCCGAAGGCGCCTGCGTGGGAAAGTGCCCGCTCCCCGGAGGCGGGACCTTCTCCTTGCTATCTGCACTACCTTCCGAAGGGTGGTATTGTGCAGGCTAGTGCTACGGTACTCTTAGTCCTGCCAGTGATGCAACTTTGCAGCCTTGACTCAGTACACAAGATGATGAAGGTTAGCCACATGGGGCCAAATGACAGAACATCTAGTTTCTATAAATGGTTATGCCACTGACTTGCTTTTAAAGATCATGTGACAGTTTTAAAATGCTGCCCTGTTTACTTGAGGATCCAAAAATCAATTCCCCAGCTATATGTTGCGAGTTGACCACATATTATAGGAACAAGAGTTCAGTCTTAGTGCTTATTCTGAATTTGTTAGCTTTTGCTTCTTTTGGTGGGACTCTGAATTGTGGACAACAGCAGATTGGATATGTGCATTAAGCTTGGAAAAAGCAGAAGCCTATATTTTTGTGTTGTGGTTACCCAAACGCTATAAAGATTTAAAACATAGGACTTAATGAAAACAATGAAGGGAAATGTGTGGATCATTTGAGTTTAGACCACTGTGTTAGGATAGGCTGGGTTATGTCGTAGTATCAATTAACCTCAAATTATCAGAGGTTGATTTTCCACTCAAACATGTGTCAAACATGGATTGGGCAGGAACTCTTTCCATGATATCACTCAGGAAACCAGGATGGAAAGTGCTGTCGGGAAATAGCTCAGTGAACTATGTCATCCAGGGAGCCATGCTGTCTTCAACAAGCTAGGTCTCTAGTAGGGGTAGAGGAGGGCTCTTTGGGGATTCAGTCTCAGGCCAAGGGGCAGGGACCGCTTCTGAGATCTTCTGTTCCAATTTCCTTCAGTGTTCTCTTTCTCTCTTCTCCCTCTCTTTTCCAATGCTCTATTATTTGAAAGATAAAATAAATGCAGATAGTTGTTGGTTTTAGAATAAAATAAACAGCTACAAATCCTTTGCAAAAACATAATTGAATAAATAAATTGGGAAGAAGGAATAACTTTTCATTACAGAATTCCAATTAAAATTAATGTAAAAGATGCTGGAAATAGAAAATCAGCATTTGGAAAAGATCACAGTTGCTGTTGCAGACAAGAATTAACATGGACAGAGGCTAAAATTAGTGGATGAAAGTATGATGAAAAAACAAGACATTTGCATAATCTCAAAATATCTCCTGACAGGAAATTTATTCATTACAAAGGTTAAAATAGTAATTTTGCAGTGGAAAAACAAGGGAATCCATTTTTTTTTATAATGACCAAGACATTTTCTTTGTGCTCTTTCTTTGCAGAAATTGCAAAGCCAAACTTGGAAGCAACCTTGAAAGTGAGGGTGCTTTAGGAAATTGTGTCAGGTGGTGACAGGTTAAGGTTGTAGTTATTAACTATAGGCTAGAAGTAAAGTTATATGGGCTAGAATATTCACAAAGGTTTCCTGCATCTGGAGGGGAGGCCAGGAAGATGAAGAAAGAATTGCATAAGGCACAGACCTGAGGAAGAGAAAGTCTTTTAAGAAAAGAGGACTCCTTATCTTGAGTGAAATTGGAGACAAAGGACTCTGCTTCACCCCCACCCCAGAACTCACTAGTTTACATTGTGCTTCTCTGGGTGAAGCTCAGATTTAGATTAGAGATCCTGAAATGTGCCTTTGACCCTTTCCTTTGCAAATTACCCAAAAAGATATTCAATCAAGCCGAACTTCAAGGCAAATTCTGATCCTTAACGTGCATTTGGTTTTCTGGTTCCAATCACTCCAGTGAATGAATTAAAATAAAACAGTCACATACATGTCATAAAAGTCTGCAAATATCTGTGAATGTCTTTGATGTGCTAGGCACCATGCTGGTGGAAGGATTATGCCTAGGGGCCTTTTCATCTTTGGAACCATATAAATGCTTTACATAACCACAACAAACAATAACATAAAAATGGAAATGAAATGCAACAAACCAGTTTAATCATATATCAAGTTGCTGACATAACCCTACACAGAATGACCTCACATTATTTAACACCACAGAAATGTGACTGTGCCTCCTCAGTGGGATGTATCCTTAGGACAATACATACTAACTGTCCCCAAAAATCTTTGTTTTCAGTTATCAGTGCTCTTATTATTATTTTTGGTGCTGGGGAATGAACCCAGGGCCACCCAAGCCCTATCAGGGTTATTATTATGTGAGACTACATACATAGATACACATATACACGAAGTGTATACATGATTATGTTAATGTCATCAGGAACCAGGATTTTCAGCCTAAAAGAGACACGAATAGGAAATGCAAGAAGTTAAAACCTAGAGGTCCTGAATTTGAATTGCAAACACCAGTATAAACTCCTGATTATTTTCCCCTTAAAATATATATCTCCAAGGCTGAGATGAGCTCATTGGTGGAGTGCTTGCCTAACATGCAGAAGGTTCTGGGTTCAATCTCCCGTTCTGCAGAAGAAAAAAAAACTATATATATATATGTATATGTATATATATATATGGAGACAGAAAGACATATATAGTGGCATATATCTATAGTGACATATCTATAATGGTATATATCTATAATTACATATATATAGACATATATATCTCCTAACTCTCTCCTCTGAAAATGTTGTAGAGTAGAGCTGGGGACTTCTGGGAAACTGAGGCAATGTGAAGCCCTCCCTTTAAATTCTGATTCTTGCAGTCAACTCAGATTTCAGACATGCCACTCAGAGTAACAGGAATGAATTTATGGATAGGAAAGGGAAAGGGGATACTCTCATGGGAGAGAGTGGGTCCTCTCAGAGAAGAGAGGGACAGTGTGCGCCTCCTGTACTCTAGTTTTATTGGGGATCCCAAGGAAGTTTCTAGAGAGTCCCACCCAGGTCCACTTGTTGACATTTGATTGACAGCAGAATGACATTAGACTTTTAAGTACCCACTGGTATGGCAACTCTAGGTCACCTTGGTATGCTGACTGGTTCTAATTGGATTATCAAGCATGGATTTGTATAGTTTTTATGGTTAGGAGGAACTATGCTTATCTTCCAGGATCTGGTCTGTGAAAAGAGCCACAAAATCTCTCCCTTCAAATTAATTGTGTTCCTCTTATCAACTTTATTTCCTGCCTGCATTTCCTTGAAGTCAACAGGTAGTTTGCTAGGGAATGGCATATTTTATCCACCTAGGCCAGGCAGGGCTGCAGGTAAATTGTTTTTTTTTTTTGACAAAGAAAGCATGTGGGGGTCAGTACACTTGGCCCATTTGATAGAATGATTCTCTTAACTTCATGTTTCCACCATCCTCATCTGTCTATCCCCTAACATTTCCCCCTTAAGGACTTTGGGCCTCTAAATTCTTTTAGGGTATTTGAGCACTGACTCATCCTTGCTACTCCCTGCTGAAAGGGGGCTATGTCTAGAAACTAAGTTCTTGTTCTTTATCAGGTGGTGCATGAAATTATGGGTATTTAGGATCAGGGCACTCTAGAGGTCCATGGTGGCAGTTGGTGGGTCACTGGATAATGTGTACATAGGTCAGGGATCATGCTAAGACAACAATAAATAAGAAAGCAAAGCATTATTTTTTTGCAAACAATTATCACAAAAGCAATCAGTATTATTGGTTGGTCTCTGAAAACCATGAAGATGGAACTCCTTAAAGATTTAGGTGGGATCCACATGCCACTGATTTACTGATTTGTTATGGAGACCAGTTAAGGCTTTAGAAACACTAGTAGAGTTGTTAGAAACATATACGCAACATTAATTTTTATAATGTCACGGATGTCCCCATGAGCTGTAGTTAAAATATCTAATGCCATCTGACTTTTGTAAAATACCTTTATATTGGCATTACTTCTGTGTTTAGTAAAGATCCCTTTATCTGTGTCATTTAGGGCTTTCTTGGTAAAGTTAAGACTTGGATTCCTCTTCCTTCAAAGTAACTTGGGTTCCTCTTATCAACTTTATTTCCTGCCTGCATTTCCTTGAAGTTAACAGGTTTGCTAGGGAATGTGACATATCCTGTCCACTTAGGCCAGGGAGGGCTGCAGGTAAATTGCTTTTTGGCAAAGAAAGCATATGGGGGTCAGCACAGTGGTAAAATAATTTTATAGAATGATTCTCTTAATTTCATGTTTCCACCATCCTCATCTGTCTGTCCACGTTACATCTTTTAGACCAATATGAGTGATAAATATTGGGGCTAGATAATCATACTAGCAAACAGAGAAACACATATCAAACTTGTCTATGCAGGAGGTTAGGAAGATTTGTATCATGTTGACTCCAAAAAAAACAAAAAACCTTGTGATACTGAAAGTCTTTTGTGATAGTTATCAGGCACTCCCATCTAAGAACCCTTCCTTTATAGCCTCCAGCTTTACTTACTTTTGGTGGGGCTGACACAAGTGTACATATTAAGTTACATTAAAAGTAAAAGAGTCATAGTCTTTCCTATTAAATGTCCATGTATAGATGTGCTTTGGTTATAACTCTCCTGCCAGGTGTTTAAGAACAAGTTGGTCAAAATTGTCTTTTGTTTCTACCTACTGTTAAGAGTCAGTTGAGATTCCTCAGGGGGTCACTTTTGGGGACATGTATGAAGCCTCTTGGCTCCTTTAGCTTTTCTCTACCAGTGGTGTCATGTGCCGGGATGGGTCAAGGTCTTGCTGACCACATGTGGCTTCTCTTAGAAGCATCAGAGACATTTCCCTCTCCAGTGACGCTCTTCTTTGAAGCATGTACACTGGTTGGCTTCCTGTTCACAAGGCCCAAGGCCCATACA